GTTATCTTCAATTTTGTTGCTGCATCATATAGGTACCATATTTCTTAGAGGGTATTGTTTTGAATTAATCTTCAACAAGAAAAATTTTCAGAAAGCCTAAGGGATGTCATCCATGTGTAAGAACTAGTTAAAGGTCAAGAGCCAATAAAAAAGTACTCAAGAGAAAGAAAGAGATTGTTTAGTAGATTGTCACATATTAATGCTGCCACAGTCAGTGCATATGGATCTCAGTTAGAATGATATATTAGAATTGGAAGCTATTTGAAAATAGTGAGGAACAGAAAGAAAGGAATTTTTTTTTCAAAAAGTACGGGGATGTGGTACTGCTTATGTCAGTAAAAATTGATGAACTGTTGATGAGAGCCACAATACAATTATGGGATCCATCTTATCGATACTTTGTGTTCAACCAAGAAGACTTAGCTCTCATGATTAAAAAATATTTTTTTTACTTCGGATAGATTCTACTAATCAAGATAAGATCTATTGGAAGAAGCATAAGACTATCGAATATAGAAAGAAGTTAGCCAAGATCATGAAATAGAGGTTGAGGAGATAGACAAGCACAAAAAGAAAAAAAAAATGGGGTTGAGACCATTCCATCGATTTTTTTGCTCGAGTACATAAAAAAATATATTGATATTGATCAGGGGTTGAATGTGTTTACTTTGACTGTGTATGGATTGATGATATTCCCTAAGGTGTTAGGACATATAGAAGCATCACTAGTTGATTTTTTTGAGCAATTAGATAAAAGCATAAACCATTCACCAACTATTTTGACAGAGACTATTAGATCACTTAATTTTTATTGAAGAAAAGGTGAGGGACGATTTATAGGATATGCTCAGTTGCTTTTTGTTTAGCTTAGAAGTCATTTTTGGAGAAAAAAAGACATCATTTCGATCGTTCTCTATTCATTTCATTCCTATCAATGAGTTTGTTGCTAAGAAATGGAAAAAATATTGGATAAAAGATTAGTGGATGGCATTTTTTTTTAAGCTTACTAGCGATGATGTAACATAGAGGGCACCATGGATGCTTCCTATGGCCATCTTGTATAGTTGTGGAGATGAGTCATAGGTACCTTTGTTAAAAATATGGAGAGCAGTGAGTTATGTACCTTATATGATTTAAAGATAATATGACTCACAGTAGTTCATTCCTATGACTCATAGACTCAGTTTACTCGAATTTGATTATGAAACACCCGGTTATGTGAAAAGGGCTCATGAAATCATCAAAGCATGGAAGTAAGTTAACTAAATGAGCCCAACTAGATTTACAAATAATGTTACAGAAGGTTACCTTGCGTGAAGAATAAAAAAGGTTAACAAAATTAGGCCTTTACCAATCGATGTTTCAGAAAAGTTATCGGTATTATCGACTTTGAAGATTGCCCAACGAGAGTTTGAGATTGAAAAAAAAAAGTTAGAGAAAGAGAATATGGCTATGATGGATCAGGTTAACCAACTGAGATATGATTTGATGATGAGAGATGATGCAGTACAGAAGTTGATCAAAGAAAGAAAAGTATTGAAAAAAGATCTGTAAAATTTGTATTAAGAAAATAAAAAATTGAGGTTGGATAGGAGACCTTTGAAGGGATCCAAGAAAGATGTAAAAAAATTAAGAGATATGGTGGAGTATTAGAAGAATAGAGCTCAAAAAAACAAAAAAGTGATCTCTGCACTCACCAAAGAATAGCATGAATGGAAAGAAAAACTTTTAGGAGCTTCTGTAAAGGTAACAAAGTATTAAAGAAAAAGTGAGAAGCTAAAAGTCGAACTAAAGAAGGAACAGAATAGGAACTTCAATTTACAAAATGAAAAAAAGGCTTTAGAGTAGGAATTAACGAGCTTGAAGCTTTAATTGACAAGCAATCAGAGTCACATAGATAAGATTTTGGCTGAATGGCAAGAAAGAAAAGATTATTGGGCTCGTGCTTGCAATATGGAAGTGGACGCTCGAGAAATATGAAGAGCAAAAAGTTTTGGAAGACGACAATACATCAAACATCTGATTGCTCAAATCTACAAGGCTGTTCAAAAAAGTAGGCAACATAATTAAAAAAGTGAAAGTACTGGAACGAAAGATTGTACCAACCTAAGGCTACAGTCAGAGATTATTGAAATTTTTGTATGAAGTTAAGGAGCAATATGCTCAAATCAAATGTTTTTATGGTTTTAATGCAAGGATGATCAGATGATGTATAAAGACTCCCATGATTAATGAAAGTTTCTTTTTGTTTCAATCGATCCAAGACAATATCTCAATTTACATTTCATTCATTTCATGCATGCATTTTAATAAGAGTAAATACTAAAAATAATATCAACGATATTATATCATGCGATCTAATTCATGGTTAATAAACTAAGGTTCAAGGATAGCAAAGTTGAAGAATCGAAATAAGTAAATTTCGTACAGATATAATACTCATTTTCAGACTCGAGCTATGGAAAAAAAGAATACAGCTAGATTTGAAAGAGTCGAAAAGGCACAGAAAGAGATACAAGAAAGAGTGATGAAAATGCAACAAAGTATCAAAACGCAAATGGCTTAATTAAGACAACTGTTGTCTGGTTCAATGAAAAGAAAAAGAGTCACTAGTGCGTTAAGGACAAGGGGAGAGGTTAATATGGAAGAACCATTATACCTTTCGGATTTACCCCGTCTCAAGCTCAAGTTCAAGCTCTTCGGGGTATACACGTATAGCCACCAAGTGTGCAACCATACCCCTATATCAATCATTCAGCAAATTAACAATCGACTCGTTTGAATACTAATTTGGGACCCATCCCACTCGATCTCATCATGGTGTCAAATCTTGATGATCCTGTTAAACAAAAAAAGTTTCATGAAATGTCAAAGCATATTATAAACTCAGAAATACGAAACAAATATGATCAACTTGAAGAGAAGCTCAAAGCAATAGAAGGAAATGATATCTATATAGTTGTTGACGCTAATGAACTGAGCTTAGTACCTAATTTGGTTATCCCACCTAAATTTAAAATCTTAAATTTTGAGAAATACGATGGAATAAAATGCCCTTTTGCTCATATTATCATGTTCTATCGAAAGATGATGGGCCATACTCAAAACGACAAACTCCTGATACATTATTTTCAAGATAGTTTAACTGGATCAGCAGCAAGATGATATGTGCAATTAAATTAGAGCAAAATCCATTCATAAAAAGAGTTAGCCAAAACTTTTATTGTTCAATATAAGCATATCCTTGATACAACCCCTGATAAGTTGTCATTACAAAATATGAAGAAAAATCAACAGAAACCTTCAAGGAATATGCACATCGATTGAGAGATGCAACAGCCCAGGTCTAACCACCACTACTAAAAAAAAGATAAATGTGCTATTTGTCAACACACTAAAAGCTCCGTACTATGATAGGTTGGTAGGGAATACCACGAAAAACTTTTCTGACATGGTAATCTCGGGAGAAATAATAGAAAACACTATCAAAAGTGGTAAAATTAAAGGGCCTGAAAAAAAAAAACAGTAAATTTTAAAAAAAAAGAGCATGAGACACATGTTGTCACTCATAAAAATTCTTCGCACCGTTCTTTTGTCCCATATAATCCAAACCCTCTATACCCTCCTTACTACCCTGCCACCAATCAAATTTTTCAACAACCATACCATTACCGAACACCCCAACAACCATTGTCTAGACCAAGCTTTAGCCCCTAGCCATCCCATTATACCTCTGCACTTCCAACTCGATCATTTGCCCAACCAACCCACCAAAATAACAATAAAAAAACCCATAAAATAATAACAATTAGGAAATACCTCATTTTGATCTCATTTCTATGTCTTATATTGATTTGTACTCTCAGTTGGTAAGAGGTCATCTCATCGCTTCGTCCTACGTAAAGCCATTAAAGCCACCTTACCCGAGCTGGTATGACTCTAATGCTAAGTGCGATTATCATTATGATGTTACATGACACTCTACTAAAAATTACACGACACTTAAACATAAGGTGCAAGGTCTGATAAATGACGACCTCTTAACTTTTGACACCAAATTCAAGCCAAGTATCGATGAAAGCCCTTTGCTAGATCACACCGAAGGGTAAATTAATATAGTAGGTAAGAAAAAAGATGTAAAGATCAAAAGGTGCGTGGATGAAATAAAAATCCCTTTTGAATGGGTGTATGACTGTTTATGTAAGACGAGTATGATTCAATCGTTATTTTTGGATAACAATAGAAGTCATGGAGACCTTGACCAGTTTTGTAAATACCATGGAAGATCGATTGGATAATCGATCCAAGGTTGTGAGGTCTTTAAACAAATATTACAGAGCTTGATGGATGAGGCCATAATTGAGTTTTATGATGAATGTGATGAAAACAGTGTGAATACAATGGGTAACGACCGTCCTGACAAGTCTTTCATACCCAAACCTCTCACTGTCTACTATAATGAGAAATCGAAGCCCCTAATTGAGAAAACCATCCCCTCTTTCAAGACATCGAAAAACCATTTATGTCTCTAGTCTATTCCCTTATCAGATCGACAAAGCATTCTTATGGAGATACGATTGTGTTGTGGTGATACGAGAGCTTGATAGGACCTTAAATGATCAAAGTATAAGGAATACTGCTAACATAGCAGGAATAGGAGGAATGGCCTGAAGTGGTCAGATTTACACTCTTAAAATGTCAAAAAGGGCTAGAAAAGGGAAAGGTAAGATAAAAGAAGAAGACACAAGGGAAAGCTAAAATTCTCAACCGGTGGTAAGCTTAAAAGTGCAAGTTAACAAATCGATGTTAGAAAAAAAAGCTTGTGAGTTTTTAAAGATCATTAAGCACAGTGAGTACAGTGTGATTGACCAGTTAAACAAACTACCAGCTAGTATTTCCTTATTGTCACTATTGTTAAATTTTGAGTCGTATAGGAATACTTTACTGAAAGTGCTCAACCAAGTTTATGTCGAGCATAACATTTCTGTTGAGAAGGTAGATCACATGTTTGAAAATATTATAGCCCCAAATTTCATCACCTTCGATGATGATGAAATACCTCTAAAAAAATATGGTAGTGTTAAGGCTTTACATATTACTGTCAAGTGTAAGTCTCATACTATGGTCAAAGTGCTAATTGACAATGGATTTTCTATTAATGTTATGCCTCTGATGATATTGTCAAAGCTTCCGGTGGACCCCTCTCACATGTGAAATAGTCATATGATTATAAGAGCATTTGATTGTGTAAAGAGAGGTAATTGGTGATATAGAGATCCCATTGTAGATTGGTCCTTGTACCTTTAATGTCATATTTCAAGTAATGGACATAACTCTTGCATATAGTTATCTATTGGAAAGACATTAGATTCACACAACTGGAAATGTACCTTTATTTCTACATTAGAAGGTAAAATTCATCGTGGAAGAAAAATAAGTTTGTGTGGATGGTGAGTAGGATTTATTGATAACAAAAACCTTAACTACTCCCTACATTAAGATGGCAAAAAAAATGATCGAATGTTCGTTTAGAGCTTTTGAAGTAGCAAATGCTACTTATGTTAGAGAAAGGTCAAGGATACCGATCCCTCAATTGTCAAAAGCTACAAATATGGTGATCAAACAGACTGTGGGCAAAGGTTGGCGAGCCAGGATAAGGCTTAAGGAAAGCTTTACAAGAAATCACAAGAGCATCATGCTCGATTGAAAATAAAGAAAGATGAGGGTTAGGCTATAAGCCTATAGCTGCTGATAGAAAGAACGTAATGCTAGAGAAGAAAGAAAAGAGAATGATACGCCTCAAAGGGCAAGATTCGATTGATAGAAAAATGATGTTTCCTTATTTGTATGAAACCTTTTGTTCAGTTGGGTATGTCTATTGTTAGCCTTGAATTGATCCTTATTTTGAAATGATAAAACATTAAAGCTAAATAAACTTTATCAAGATTTTGAAAAAGATTTATTTAGTACATGTTCTTAAGTTTTATATTTTGATACTAAATAAATAATATGATTTTCAAAGCTTAAACAAACATTTCTTTGTTTTCATATTTCTCAAACCAAATCTACCTTTAAAGATTATTTATTTGAGCTTAAATGAAAGTCCAGTTATTGTTTTTAAAGTGAACTTATTCATTTTGGACTTAATACAATTTTTATAATATTGGTTTTGGGAAATAGATTAACTTAGGAAAGTTGTTTTACAAGAACAAAGTTTTCCAACATTGAATTTATTTTATTTTTTTGTATAAATTCATAAAGTTTTTAATATTTGAATTTTATATGGTTAGAAAGCTCTTTGATTCTAATTTCTAATGGATTAAACAAAATCAAAATCCAAATTTTCTAAGAAAAGATTTTGAATTTTTACTAGATACTCTGCAGTTGTCAGAAAAACTGCATAAGGTGTAAGTTTGAAAATTCACTATAATTCATACATAATAAATTAGTGATAAAATGTATATAGATAGAAAGCCCTTTAAGTCTAGTTTCTAAATCTCCTAACGGTTTGTGAATTGGATTTTTATAACTCAAGTTATGATGAAATTAGTAAGTAGAGTGCAAAACATAAAACTACCACCTAGCCACTGACAAGATCGATCTCCTCATGGAAGAGATCGATCGAGTCATTATTTTCAAGTGAAAAATGGTTCAAAACATGAACCAATCGATCCCCTCAAGCAAGGGATCGATCGACTCTAGGCAAAAACACTCCAATGGCTACTTTTTGGTGCTTCCAACGGTTATTTTCTTCTTCCAAACACTTCCAATGGCTACCTCTTCAATTTCTCTATAAATTGGGCACTCCAACACACCAAAGAGATTGATAAATCAAGAGAGCAAGAGCCAATAAGCTACATTTTTATTCTTTCAAAGAATCAAGAGTTTTTAGAGCTTCAAAGTCCATATCTTTGTATTTATTGTATCCAATTTTTATTTGTTATTCATTCATCATTTTCTTGTACTTAAAATTAGCAAAACACTTAGCCTTAGAGAAATTGTTCTATTGTTTGCAAAGTTATCTTTGATATACAATGGTGGAAGAGAACAAGCTGTGAGGTATCCTCTTGAGAGCTTTATAGTGAGATTGGGTAAAATACTACAAAGGGTATAGGTTTTTATCTTAAGCCTTAAAAAGAAAAAGATAGGTTGTATTTTCAATTCTAAAATAGTGGATTGAAGCCTTGGTGTAGACAATCAAGAAGAAATGATGTACGTGTCTTGTGGAGAAGGACCGAACCTCTATAAATCATTGTGTTTGATTTTTTTATCCCTATCTCCTTACAATTTATTGTTGTTTATATTTGATTTTAGATTCATTAATTATTATTATTTGGATTATATTTTCATCCAAAGTGCTTATTGTTTTAATTTCCATTCAACTATATTGAAATCATTTGTTTGAGAAAAATTTGAAGAGATCTAATTCACCCCCATTTTGGATCACTATCTAACTTATAAAGTTAACAATTGATATTAGAGCTTTGGTCTCTTTTTGTAGGTTTAACCACCTTGAGAAAAGATCCTATGGCTCAATTTTGGTTCCAAGATGATGAGAAAATCCTCAAAGCTCCTATAGTTGATAAATTTAAATTTTGTGAATGGAGAAAAAGATAAATGTGTTCATTATGGTCTAAGATTTTAGAGCTTGAAATGTGATTGAAAAAGGGCTTAGAACTCCTTCAAATGATGCAAAATACATTTGAAAAGATTAAAAAGTATTTGATAAACCCATTAGTGTTAGTACCACCAGTTGCAGGAAGGCCGTTAATCTTATATCTAATGGTTCAAAAAAAATCAATGGGATGTGTATTGGGGCAAAGAGATGAAACTGGCAAGAAAAAGCATACTATCTACTACTTGAGTAAAAAGTTTACGAAATATGAGGCCAAATACCTCCAAATAAAAAAAATATGTTGTGCTTTGGCTTGGACTACTCGTGACTCTAGCAATACATGCTCTACCATATGACTTAGCTAATATCAAAATTGGATCATTTCAAGTACATTTTTGAAAAATCATCTTTATCAAGTAGGATAACGAGATGGCAGGTCATGCTCTTAAAATATGATATTATGTATGTGACATAAAAATCCATAAAAAAAAGTGCAATTACTGATTTTCTTGCTGATTGAACTACAGAAGATCACAAACCTATGAAGTTTAAATTTTCAGAGGAAGATTTGATGACGATCTTACAGGATGAAAATGAAGAGCCTGTAAGAAAAGTGTGAAAAATATTTTTTGACGGGACATCCAATATAATAGGGTATGGCATTAGGGCAGTGCTAATATGCCATAAGAGAATTATTACCCCTGTACTGCAAGGTTAGATTTCAATTACACAAATAATGTTGCTGAATATGAAGCATGTGTCATAAAGTTATAAATGACCATTGAAAAGAAGATTGAAACACTAGAAGTATATGAGGATTCAACCTTGGTAATTTATCAACTAAAAGGTGAATAGGAGATCAAAGACCTAAAATTAATGTTATATCAAAGGTACATAATCAACTTGATAAAACATTTTAAAGAGATTCAATTTCAGCATGTTCTTCGAGAAGAAAACCAGATTGTTGATGCCTTGGCTACTTTGGCAGCAATGTTCAAGTTAAATAATAGTATGGGAATCCAGCCCATCATAGTATAAATGAAAATTTCACCAGCCCACGGTTTAAACATGGAAGAAGAAGTAGATCGATAATCGTGGTACTATGACATTATATAATATATCAAGTGTCAAAACTACCCAGAGCAGGCTTCAAAAAATAATAAGAGGATCATTCAAAGATTAGAAGTAGGTTTTATGCTTGATGGAGAAATCCTGTATAAAAAGAGTCGAAACCAGATTTTACTACGATACGTCGATGCTATAGAAGTAAGAAGGATACTTGAAAAAATACACAAAAGAATTTATGGAACACATGCTAATAGGCATATGATGGCCAAACAGATTATAAGAGCTTATTACTACTGGTCTATAATGGAAAATGATTGCATCAATTATGCTAGAAAGTATCACAAATGTCAAATTTATACAGATAAAATTTATTCCCCTCTAGTCTCCCTACACGTCTTGGCACCACTATGGCCTTTCTTCATGTGGAGAATAGATGTGATCAGACCCATAACCCTAAAAGCTTCAAATGGACATCGATTTATCTTTGTGATAATTGATTATTTTACAAAATAGGTAGAAGCAGCTTTGTATGCTAGTATTATGCGATCAGTGGTATGTAAATTTATAAAAAGAGAGATAATATATCAGTATGGGCTTTCGAAAAGGATCATCTCAAATAATGCTAGCAACTTAAACAATAAAATGATGAAAGAATTATGTGCACAGTTCAAGATAAAACATCATCATTCAGCACCATATCGTCTAAATATGAATGGTGCAGTGGAAGCTGCGAATAAGAACATCAAGAGAATATTGAAAAAATGACTGACACATATAAAGACTGGTATGAAAAGTTACCTTTTGCTCTACGTACTTATAGAACATCAATATGAACCTTCACAATGGCCACCTCGTTTTCACTAGTGTATGGGATGAAAGCTGTACTATCGATTGAAGTGAAAATTTTTTCTCTAAGAATGTTGATAGAGGTAAAACTAAATGAAGTAGAATGGGTTCGAGATCGTTTCGAGTAATTGAATCTTATTGAAGAGAAAAAGCTCTCAGCATTCAATTATGAATGAATGTATCAAAAAAGAATCATGCGAACACATGATAAAAAGATATAACCTCGATGCTTTCGTAAGGGCGAATTGGTTTTGAAAAAGATTTTGCCATATCAGCGTGACAATAAAAGAAAATGGACACCCAATTGAAAAGGTCCATATATGGTAAAAAATACCTTCTCTGGTGGAGCTCTGATCCTTGTAGAAATAAACGGTGATGAATTGCCAAATCCTGTAAATTCGAATAGTGTCAAGAAATATTTTGCTTTTAAAAAAAATGAAAAAAGAAAAAAATAATACAAAAAAAAGAGAAAGTGACTCAAATTGAAAATTCGAAAAGGGTGATTTAAATCAAAAGGGGTCATTTAAACTAAAAACCTGAAAAGATAGCTTGAATGAAGGTGAAGCTCAGAGAAAGTCTTTGAAAGAATGAAAGAATGACACCAAATGGACGAATTGTCACCAGAATTAAAAGAGATGACTTTTAGGGGTAAGTTCTCATTAGTCACAGATGTTGGGCAAGGATTGGTCATATGAAATCACATGTGACAAGATCGTAAATATAATGAGTTTTTGGAAAAACCTGGTCTGAGTAGGCCGAGGTCGTTCAAATGTTCATTATCTAGAGAACTGATATTTGATTCTTGAAATACTTTTGAGTTAACTGTTCTTTATGTCTCGAAACGCTTATCTTTTTAAACTCGAAATACCCTATTATTAACCATGTTTCACACCCAACTTTGAACCTGAAATCATTGTATTTGTCATTTAAAATTAAGATAATGATTAATAAAGTTCATAATAGACTAATGCATCGCTCGAAAAGAGAATGCAATATGAGGATGATAGAAATAGTAAAATGGGGGCAGAAAAAATGAAATGAAATTGATTAAGTACTGAAAACAAATAAGAGAAAGGGGATAAAGAATAAAAAAAAAGATTTTAGAGCTATTAAAAGCCAAATGGGTTCGTCATAAGATAGAGATTTCTGATCGAAAATTGAAAGATTTAAAAGGACAAGATTACTGGAAGTGACTTTTAAAGTTTGAAAGAATTGAACAAAAAGTTGAATTAACTTAGATGAAAATGCATGATATAATTCATTGATGGCATTTTTATCTTTTTGTTCATCATAATCATTGCACGCATTACATATCTCTTGATAAGTTGCATATAAGGTTTTTTTATGAGACATTAGAGAGAATCAATATTTTTCTTTTTCGAAACAAAGATGATGGCCTTTAAGATGGTATGTTAGCACAATCTTTAAAATCGAAACTATCAATCTATAGGGTACCTAATCCCTTTTAACTCACAGCTCAGTCTTATTTATTTTCCTAACTTGTGATTCAGTCCTAGTCATCGTTAATATTTGGCTTGTGGTTTAGTCCCGATCATTTTTATAGTTTTTGACTTGCAGTTTAATCTCAGTCACTTTTGCTTTCTGACTTGCGGTTTAGTCCCAATTGTCTTTAATCTTTGACTCGCGGTTTAGTCTCAGTTGTTTTTAATCTTTGAATTACAATTTAATCCCAGTTTAATCCCAATCTTTTTATTCTTTAACTCGCAGTTCAATCTCGATCTTTTTAATTCAAAATCGTAGTTTAATCTTGCTTATTGTTCTTCTCTGACTCGTGGTTTAATCCCAGTCTCCTTATTTTTTGACTTTTGATTCAATCCAAGTTGATGTTATTCTGACTCGCGGTTCAATCCCGATCTCTTTACTTTCAAGTCACGATTTAATCCCGATGGTTGTTATTCTCTAACTTATAGTTTAGTCCCGGTCTCCTTATTTTTTAACTTGTGATTCAATCCAAGTTCAATCCTCATCTTATTATTTCTTGACTCGCGGTGCTATTCTAATCATTTTCTTTATTATTCGACTTGCGATGTTGCTTTAATTGACTTTTTATTTTTCAACTTATGATGTCGTCTCGGTCATTTTCTTTATTACGTGACCTGTGGTTAAAAAAAAAAACTTTTGGAAAATCTACGATTTGCTTTCGAACAAAATCGTTGTCTTTGTCTTTGCCTTATTCTTAATTCTTAATAATGTGTAAAGAGAGACAGCTATAGATATCGATTTTATCCGGGTCTACTATCTTCAGTTCTAGTTTAATAGTAATAGTAATAATTTTAATAATAATACTAATAATAATATCGATTTAATTAAAAATTAAAAATATTATAATAATCATTAAAAAAAGAAGATAAAAAACAGAGGGCTAGTACGACATCACTACTGCCCCTATCCAACCTTCTGCCTGACTCCATCTGATCCAACCACCCTACCTAGTCCTATCAGACCATTGACCCATGTGACCAGACCAGACAGCCACCTCTACGGTCGTTTCTATAGCCACCCCTTACAGCACTTAAGACACCCATACTGACACAGATCATACCCTATAAAGAACCCAACTTCATCCCCTTCTATTCTTTGTCAGACAACCCCTAAAATTCTCAAAAACACAAAAACTCTCACACCCAAAAAACCCAAACACTGCTCCCCACCACCCATAGAAACCCCAAACTATTCCACAACCAAAATAATAACCATGAAAAAACAACAAACAAAAGACAAAAACAAAAACACAGTCTTCCTCATAAGGAGAAACCCAATGCTGAGCCAACTGCACAAAGAAAAAGGCATCAGTTAGTTTTCAAACAGAAAAACCAAAAAAAAAAAAACATAAAAAACTTCATTCCCAGATCTACGACAATTGGGGCTACTTCTCATGAAAAAGATGACAAATCTGAACTCAAAAGGTCAAAATGAACCTTTTAATCAGTTTTGGAACTTTCAATCACTGACGACCACCACCGACGATAACCCAAGTGACGGTTGACACGATGATCCGACGATCGGTCGACGGGAGATTTAGAGCTCTCCCCAAAGCTCTGACCCTTTTTTTTTTTTAATAAAAGAAGAATGAACCAAAAAAAAATTTTAGTTATATATAAAAGCTTAAAGCCCAAAACGATGTCGTTTTGAGTATAAAAAGATCTGTACCTGCCTGTTACCCAACCCGAGATTCGCACAAACTGACCCGCCAACCTGCTCAACCAGCCTTAAACCGGTTCAACTGAACTGTGCGTTGAGTCGTCACTCAACCGGTTCAACCGAACCGCTTACTAAGCCACCCTTATTTTTAGCCCCGCCGAATCGCCATTGACCGGATCATTGACCGGTCCGATTCAGGTAAAAAAATTTTTATTTTCTATTTTTTATATATATTATTTTTTTTGTTATTTTTGGTTTTTTTTATATATTTATGCATGATAAATTTTAAAATTTTTTAGAATAAATATTTAATTGTTTTAATAATAACAAAAATGAAAACAAGTAAGATAATAATTAAAATATATATTAAAATGCTTAAAAAATAATAATAATCTTAAAAATAGATGTTTGAGGGAATAAAAACACACTTCTAAAAATAATTTTGCCTAGATGTTGGAGAATTATAAAAATAAAATTAATAAAAGGTATAAAAAAATTAAAATTAATAATAACAATAATAATACTAATAATAAAATTAATGTTATTGTTAAAAATAAGTTTTCATAAAAAGGGAAATATATGAAGATTTTTAATAAATTTTCAAAAATCATAAAAATTAAACTTACTACGAAAATCTGACTAGATGTTGAGAATTTTTAGAGATGTTCGCATTTTCTTTAAATCTTAAATTAAACCCTAAATCCTTTAAACCCTAAAACCAAAACTTTTAACCTCAAATCCCAAAACTGAAACTTAAAATCCAAAATCCTAAACCCTAAAATTCAAAACCTTAAAATTCAAAATTCTGAAAACTCCAAATTTGGTACGAAATCTCGAATCATTGCCTGAAACTCACCAAATTTTAAAACATTGACCTAAACCTATACTCAAAACTTTTTTGAAAATTTGTGGATACGTGCGAAGATTTTAAGTGGAGTAATTTGTTCTCGAATACTGTCTAGATATAAGGTATTTAAAGAAATCTTATTCTATTAAGTTTTTCTCATGAGTCCTTAATTCTCTTTAACAATGGGATTAATAATTGTTTAATAATAAAAAGGGAATAATAATAAAATAGGATCTTAAATATAAACAGTCGCACCAAAGCTCCATCTAGATAATGAGGAATCAAAGTGATCTCATTATGTTTAAGAATCCAATTTCAAATTTGTACTTCATTATCATACACAGCATTTATTAGCTTACATACATTTTATTTGTTACTGTTTGCACTTATTTGTATTTCTTTTTCTTTAATTGTTACTTGCTATCTGATAATATCATCATTTACTTTTTTGCATAAAAATATTTTTTTAATTTACTTACTTTTAAAATTATGATATTATAAAATAAAATAAAAATAACATTTTAAAAGAAATAATTCTTGGTACTCTGCCTAGATGTTAGAGAGTCACCAACAATTATCTTTCACAAAGAGTGTTATTTTTATTTTAAGAAGTATTTTGTTTAATCTTAAGCGAGAAGATTTATTTTAAATTTTACCTAGATGTTGAAAAATTTTAAGATAATTCTTTAACTTAAAGATTTCTTTAATATTCCTAAAAAAGAATTTTAGCCAAAAATTATTTTTTTAAAAGTGAAGGGGATTAGTGTTAAATTTGAAATTGAAACAATTTTTATCCAATACCGAAAATAGTATGTAATTAAATGGTACCAATTTATGGTCATTGTGGGGGTGCTAATCCTTACTCACACATAACCGACTCCAAGACCTAACCTGATTTTTACATACCAAAATTTATTTTTTTAATAAACTTTAAATCCACTTTTATAGTTTTATTAAAAAGATAAACTTTTGGATGATCAATAACATCTTAAAAAATATTGGTAACGACTTTTTTTTTATTTTAAAATTATTTATGTCTGACAATCTCAAAACCGTTACGATAAAATCTAATGATAAAATTTTGAAAGAAATTCAATTGAAAATTTCGAAATGAAGTTACCTATTTATTAGACATAGAGCATTTGTTGAAGTTTGAACCTCATAGGTGAGAAGCACAAAACCACAAAACAAAGAAAATTGCCTTTTCCGCCGAATGTGATGAACTACCTTTGGCAACTTGCAATTTTGACTGTCAAGGAAATACAAAACTACGTTTCTAAATTCCATGAGTTAGAATTATGCTCTTTAGTTTGCGCGTTGAAATATAGCTATGCAATCTTCAACTAAAATTGGCTTTTTTAAAGGGTAAGACTTGAATAAAATTTTTTAGATGGAATTCGTAAATTTTTTTATTAAAAATATTTAATAAAATATTAATAAAATTTAAATCAATAAATTAATTTAATAAAAGGATAAATTATATATAAAAAAGGTTATAAGAAATTTCATTGTCAAAATTTTTTGTAAAAATATTAATTTTTTTAATTTTTTTTAAATTTACACACTTTATTTATATAATAAGAATTTTTAATTTATCTATTTAAATTTTTAATTTTCACTTTTATTTAATCATTTTTAATAAAAAATTTTAAAAATTTCACTTTAAAAATTTCATCGATAAAGCTTTCTCTCATTTAAAGACTCTTTTATAATCTCATTTAGGGCAATGTGTTGATATGTTAAGTTTTCAACAAAAGAAAAATATCACAAAAAAATAGAACTATATAAAAGTTTTTTCCAAGCATATCAGCAACAATTAATAATACAAAAACCTATCATATATAAATGTAATCAATGCCCCAACACCCATTCTAGCCCTTTCCAAAACACAAAAAAGAATCTCAACAGAAGCCTAAATGGGTGCCTGTGCATCCTCAACTTCAAACTCAAAATCAGGCAAAGCTGTAGTAGGAGGATCGAGCACAATCAGACGCTCATCAACAGCCGCCAAGGTGGTTCACATCGATGGTCATGTTCAAGAATTCAGGCAACCAATCCAAGCCAAGAACATCATTTCCCAGAATCCCAATTGCTTCCTTTGTAGCTCAGAGTCCATGTCAATTGGCAGTTCCGTGCCCCGAGTGCCTGATGATGAGGAACTCCAACCAGGACGAATTTACTTCCTGTTGCCACTTTCCCAATCCGACAAACCTCTTTCCTTGCCAGACTTATGTGCTCTTGCCATAAAAGCTAGCGCTGGCCTAGGCAAATTCAGTATTGACCTCTCCTCAAGTAGTTCAAAACTCATTCTTAGGTGATCAAAGTGATAAGATGACATGTTCATCAGCAGAAGAGATTCAGCAAAATTTTTTGCTAATGTTTTTGTAATTCTTTGCATAAATGTGATTAATATTATTTGATATAGATTGTAAAAGTCAACGATTTGGATTGGTATTTTGCTTTGCTTAGAAATGTAGCCGTCCATATAACCATTCAACTCGTTAGAAACCATAACTGAGGCCAACTTGCCAAGGGATTCAGGGAGGCCTATGCTAGTATTCTTGCCTCTTGTTTTGATTGGAATAGATCATTGGATTCGTCGCCAAATTTTTGTTTCCTTTGAAGCCTAATGTTATAAACTTATAAATGTATAGCGTAGCAGCAAATGAATGGCTTGATTATACAGAAATCAGCAGTTGGCCCTCCCGCCAAGGAAAAGGCTGGAGGACTGGTGGTGGCACAGCACCATAGTTTTCAGGCCCAGTCCAATTAATGCAGCAAAGTTTTACAGTAGCCTGTAAATTTACCAAAAGGAATTCATTGTTACAGACCAATTGGGCTGAAACCTTGAGCTGTATTTTCTATATGCCAGTGACAGTAGCCAAATTTGAAGTTATATGACTGATCTTTCCATGTACCCCTTAATTACGTGTATAATCAGGTTGTGTCAAGTCGGCAATGTAAGAATTCTTTTTCAATTTGAAAAAGAAAATCAAGTTACTCAAATTTGACTGGATTATGTCTCTTATCATCAAATTAAGTTTATTCCATCTCGAATCAAGTATTAAAGTACTTGAACGCAAGAGGGCCTCAAGTTAATTACAGTTTAAGTTCGACAAGAAAGGATTAGAGTTTGAATGGTTTTCAAGTAATCCCTAGTTCCTTACTCTTGAAAGTAGATGTGGCCCGATACAGATTAAAACGGGCCATTTAGGAGACAGGCTCATCTGGGAAAACACTTGCTTTATCCCTTTAGTTCTGGTAAGTGGTTAATAAATTACTAAATGCACGTCACATGGACAAACATGGTCACGTGCAAATTGCAATGATCCAAGGGAAATCTCAACTCTTTGATTAATCTAGCTTGCCAGATCTTATCAACTTAGTTAAACGACAATAAAATGCACTGGTCCCCAGAAACTCGACCTGTTTCAGTGGCATAACCCGACGTAAGCTGTTTCTCGCTGAGCACATTGTCCCCATTTCCAATTCCCAGGTACCGCACGCCTCTGCCTACACATTGATCGTGATCTCTTTTTCAATCTTCCTATGATCATCAATTCAGTTCCTAAAGCCAAGAAGGGTAAACCGGCAATGTTACCCCAAGACAAAAAAAAAAAAAAAATCATGTTAAGCATAATTTATGAGACAGCCTAATAACAATGACATCCTCAAATCACACTTACAAGGGGTCAAGTGTAATAATTTCTTCCAACAGAACATAGCCATCCTTGGATGTCTATAAATTATTTCTATCAGCAGAACTGGCAATCACAGCACAATAATAGACAGCAGAGAATGGCCTACGCCTTGGTTGCAGTTCTATTTCTAGCTATTTCCCACAACACAGCCCTGGGGGTACCAGCAGCGAGCCCTGGCATCATGGCTCCAGCTGTGCTGCCAAGTGCAGCCAGAGAATTCCTGGAAGCACACAACCAAGCAAGAGCCGCAGTTGGGGTTGGACCTCTCAAGTGGAGTGAGCAATTAGCCAATGCCACAAGCCTCCTTGCTAGTTACCAGAGGAACAAAATGGGTTGTCAGTTTGCAAACCTGACAGATCACAAGTATGGAGCGAACCAGTTACGGGGCAGTGGAGCAGCCGTGACGCCACGCTTGGCAGTCGATACATGGGTGAAAGAGAAGACTTACTATGATTATGCCAGCAATTCTTGTGCTCCGAATCATAGGTGTGGAGTCTACACGCAAGTGGTTTGGAAGAACTCGTCGGAGCTGGGGTGTGCACAAGTCACGTGCAAGGACCAAATTACTTTAACTATTTGTTTCTATAATCCTCCTGGAAATTATGTTGGAGAGAGGCCATACTAGAAAATTAGCTATACATAGCTTGTTTTAGGATCTGATCTGGGTAATATATGTCTTGATTCCTGAAAGCTTTGAGAGGGCCAGCTTGATTTAGTCTCCTGTACTGGATGTAAGTAGAGAACGATGTTGTATATCATCCGATGTCCATAATTTGGATCCTGAATAACGCCAATAATTGTTGTGAAAAGGTTTCTCTCATACATTTTTCTTTCATTTTCTTTACAATTTGGGGAGAGCGTGACCACTTTTTTAAGAATGATTAATCATGAAATTAACCATTAAAAGTGGGGGTGAGACTTGGGAGATTCAAGCTATAATGTTGAACTTGATCACTGAAAGGAGCAACCAAAATGAGATCCAATAATTCAGGTGAATGCTTTGAGCAGCTGAAATGGAGATCGTACCGTGGCTAAAACTGATGCACTCGACCGACAGAATAGAACCCGTGCCAAGATCACGTGTGTCCTCAACAAGACTCCGCTGGCACATTGTAATTTGTACGTATGATAGATGGTCATGATTGAGCCCAACTCTATAAATTTCACCAACATGGCCAGATTTTTTAAGTCAAATTATGATATGGGTCACGGGCAAATGCAGGTGACCAGCTAAAATTAAGTTGAGGACAGGAATTATTGGAGTCTAGTTGTGTGTGTTTCTTACTAGTAACTGTATACAAAAGACTGAGTTAATGACCTATTAGGCTGCATGCATGAACACTGGGGAAACTGGGCATGTGCAAATCTGCATCATATACTTCCACTACAATCAGCTCAATCTTATACTTTACATTATCTAATGAGTAAATTATATAAAAATACATATGGTGTTTAAAGTGGATTTCAAGGTGATACTTAGTTACTTTATAATTTATTTTTATTTTTTTATTTAAAATCATGACTTTTTTCTGTTTTTTTTCAAGAACTTTTTTTTTTTGTTTTTTTCTTATTCTTCAACAATCATTATTTTCCATTTTCAAAAACTAGAAAAATGCTAAGTTCAGACAAAAAAAAATCATTTTGGTTTTTTTCTTTATCGAGTAAGTATCATACCGCAACCAAATCGGTGCTCTTTATCGAAGACGTTATCTTCGTCTTAATCGATTTAATGATAGTAAACATGAAAAAGATAATTAGATGAATTGAAAAGAGATATTTTGATTCAAAGCAAACAATGTCAGCTTTTAGTATGGTTTGACTTACAATTTGATATGATTTTATTTTTGGGTGTTTTGTTTTTTGTATTTAATTTAATATTTTTGAATGGATAATTATCTTTTAGCTGAATTTTGGAAGTGGATTCGAGCTTTCTTTTTTTTTTTTTTTGGATAAAGTTTGTATTGAAACATGGATGGTTATATTTTTTAAGTTAAAATTTAGATAAAAGTGTCATTACGTATAAATTTATATATTTATCATTAAACATAATTAAAAAATCATTATTAATATTTTTTTATTTAGATATGATTATTTATCTAATAATTTTATTTTTTTAAAGATATCTCAAGCTTAACTAAAAATTCATAAAAAAATAAATTATGATTTACTAATCAAAACAAAGTTAAAAAGTTCAATTATGTATGAGAAAGATTATAATACTCCTACAAAGCTCATCTTAAATGATATTATTTAATTTTAAATTATCCTTAAAATCTTTGGTTATAATGGTTTTTTATTAAATTTTAGTGTTTAAAATATTAAAAATAATTTCTAAGATTTTTCTATCAATATGATAAAAATTCTAAAAATAGTTACTCTCTTGAAAAGTATTCAAAAATCCAATTTGTCTTAATCATTTATTTTTGTTAAAATTTTATTTTATTGAAAATATATATAATTCTTTCACATTTTAGGCCAAAATTAAAAATATTTTCTCATCTATAAATCTTTTAGATAATCATCCATTTACAATTACTAAAAATTTCATTCTCAATTTTTTTTTATTTTACAAGTTTTATTTTTAAATTTTTCATTATTTGGACTTAATTTAAAAATATTTTTCTTAGAATTTAGTCTCTATTTATTCGACATTTATTTCTTCGAAATAAAATAATATAACAATTATTTTTTAAAGTTTCAACAAAATTCTTCCAGGCCAATATTAGCGCTAATGGTACGTAAATGTAACTCGTTGTTTAAAGAACTATTCAGAGTTCCTAGAGCTCCTTGTAAAGCTTGTTGGAAAACCCGTTGTCGGACTTGATGAATCGCTCTTTGTTGTTCAAAATGAATGGTTTCGTTTTTGTAATTTTCTAATTGTTCCAAAATCTTATAAGTTGAATTAATCAAATTCAATTTGTCTCGTTCTATCTCAGAGTATCCATTCACTCGAAACCGATCTGCCTCGGACCACGTCGGCTTACTAATGGGATGCCCTAATGTGTTACAAAATTTCGCTTTAGACAATGATCCAATGAGAGAAATAATTGGAATTCTTGTATCCAACTTCTTCATAGCATTATCTATTATAAATGAATTTTCTAGCATTTGACTCCGTACCACTGAAGTATTTAATCGCACACTTGAAAGATAGCCCAGAAAGTCGAGAGAATATTTAGATAATTGATTTATACGGACGCTTCCTGATTGAGACCGCACGTAAAAATAATATTTCCATAAATCGACAAAGTAATATTTCCACTTATTCATCAGAAGAGACGTATCCTTTGATGCCAGAATTGCCTTTCCTTGATACCTAAAAAAATGTATGAAAGGGTCTTTGAACAACCATAGGTTGACCCAGGACTCAATATCGATCTTATTTCTAAGACAAAAATTAAGAATTCTCCAATTAAAAAATTTTCTATGCGAAAATTTTCCCGTTTTCCCCGTTAGATAATTATGGATAGGAATATCCCCCAATATATCAAAAAATTTTCGTTTATCCATGTTGTAATTATAAGGAATCTCTTCCCTCTTATTTACTTGTAATGGTGATCCATAAGTATATGAGTCCCTCATATCTTGATAATTAATAAATATATATGATAATAAATTATATCTATAGTGTTTTTTAAAATTATCTTTTTTATATTTTTGTTCTTGATTTCGTTTTTGTTCTTAATATCAATCTAAAACTAAAATGGCTCCCTCTCAAAGGAGAAGTAATAGATAGGGATGACAGGATTTGAACTCGTGACATTTTGTACCCAAAACAAACGCGCTACCAAGCTGCGCTACATCCCTTTCAATTGGCCTATGATGTTATTATAGAGAATCCCTGTCTTGTTTTCCACACCCTTATTTCATCTATTGATATATAAAAATTATCTTTCCATTTCCTCTTTTTGGTCTCATATCATATAACAACCATATAATGAATAATAAATGAATCTTTTTGGCGGGAATTCTCAGGCAGAAAAGGACCTATTTTGCTGTTTTAAGAAAAGGAAAATCTTATCTATCGAATCATTGTACATTTAAATTTTAATTTTGAATTAGGAATTTCGGGTACAAATATACAAATACAAGTGGTCTTTAACCACACATACATGTGATTATATATGTATTACCATAATGTATGTAATACGATAAAACATTTGAGTTGAATTAAGGAAAAACTTTTCACCTAAAAATCTCATAAAAATTCAACCATTTGTATTTTTTTTTTTTTGAAATTTCATTATTGGAGAATTGTTATATATTTTCAAACAAATTTACAAGTTACATTTTTGCTTTTTATTTTTAAAAAATACAATTATTTTTATTAAAATTTCATCTAAATTATTCTACCATTTGAATCAAACTTAGAGAAATTGCTCACCTATAAATGTTTTAAAAAATTTACCATTTAAAATTTTTAAGAATCTTATCATTAAAATAATTGTTAATTCATTTCAAAAATTTTTATTAAATTTATTTAGATTTTTACTTTGAAAATTAAAATTAATTAATAATTATTATTATTGAAACTTTATCTAGATTTTTCTTTCGTTTAGGTCAAATTTAAAAAAAAAAAAAATTTCTCAACTAGAAATTTCCTAAAAATTAATCACTTGTAATTTTTAAAAATTTCATCATTAGATAATTATAATTTATTTTCTAAAATTTTATTAAAGTTTAATTTTTTTATAATTTAAAATAACTTTTTCTAATTTTCTTAAAAATTAATCATGAAATAATATTTTAAAAATGAATAAATGAATAAATAATAAATAAACAAACCAAAATATAAATAAATAAATAAAAAGGAAAATACCAAAAAGTCGGCTCGGCTCGGCTCAACTGAGCTTGGATTGAAGCTCAGCTACAGGCACAAAAACCTGTTGAAGCGGCTCAGGACATGGCTTGGCTCGACTGGGCGCTGGTTGCTAGAAACCAGTTGCAAGTCGGGTTGTGACCAGATCGGGTCGGGCTAATAGTAAAACGCGTGGACCCACAAGGGAAATTAAAGCTAAAAACAGCATCGTTTATCCCAAGTACATAAGGCCAAAATTTTTCTTATTTCTCAGACTACCTATTCTCGTTCTCTTTTTTCTTTGTTTTTCTACTACTACTCTCTAAAAAAGAAATCTGGCGACTGAAGACTGGAGACCTTCGTCGAAAACTAAAAAAGCCTACTAAATTTTGGAAATGATCCTCGAAAACTGGATTTCTCGTAGAAAGCCGTCAAAAAATTTAATCAAAAAATTCAAGTTTTTCAACTTTTCTAGAATTTTCCAAAAAAATTGCCAAAAAACCACTCATTCAATCTCTTGGGCTCCTGGATTCCTCCAATGTTGTTGATTAATCCCAAATCAAACTAAAAACTTCCAAATTTTCAAAAAAAAAAAAATCCTAACAGAAGCTTTTACATTTTCTCTCTCGATTTTTTTTGTTGCTTTGATTGCTGCTGCCTACTCTCTCCAATTGTTCTTCCTTCTCTGTGTTAATGATTGCATGTCCTTTTATAAGATAGTTCCCTGACTTGAACACTGTTCACTTGTGATTAAATTATTCCGATCATGTTTATCTTTTCACCGTATTGAAATTGGATTTTATCTAAAAAAAAAAATTATTCAATGAATTATCACTCCAACCCAACCTCTTCACGGTTACTCTCTTTTCCAATCAATTTTCAATTATTCCCATTATCTTCTTTTAAAAAAAAAAAAAACAATATGATAAATCTAATAATAGTAAAATTTGATAATTGGGTTAGAATTGATTCTGGGTTTAAGCAATTTGTGTTAAATTGGTTTAGACCCAATAAAGCCTAGACCAAATATGATGTTTACAAAAAGTATTATTATTATTATTATTTTTTATGTAGTCTGGATGCAGGTTTTAGTTCAAATTAGGGTTTTATAGGGTTTTTAAATAATCTAAATAAGAATTTGAGTATGATTTTAGCTATTTAGGTTTTAAAGGATTGGCTGTCCAATTATTCTTATGAAATTGAAAGGTTATTTTTTGGTGTTATCCTTTATTCTAATTATGACACTCTTTTTTTTTGTGATTTACAAAAATGTGATTGATTGAATTATTATTATTATTATTATTATTATTATTATTATTTTGTTAGTTTTGCTTTCGATTGATAATTAGCATTAAGCTTTGGATGATGTTCTTTATGCAAGATGGAGAAATTTGATAAATTGATACGGGATGTTTATTTGGATCAATGATTGAATGGTTGAAAATAATTTTTTTTAGTTTAGAATTTTTTTGGTTTTAGCAAGAAAAAAAAAGAGTAAAATATTGAAGAAGTAAAAAAAACAAAAGAAAAAATGTTTTGGAAAGAAAATGAAAAAAATTAAAGTTTTTGGTAAAAGAATAATAAAAATAATTAAATATTAACTTTTAAACTTTAAAAATTACTTTCAATCGCAAATCAGAAAATAATTTTTTTGTAATTTAACCTTGTCTAATTTACATTTTATTTTTTTACAAATATCTTTTTGGTGCATATAAAAGTTTGTTGAGTTCTCGGTATATAATAACATATAAGTTCTTGTAGTTACTATAAAAATTAATTATTATTTAAGCTGTTTGAATCCTTAAGTTCAATCTAATCTAAGGTATTCTTTAAAAAAACCTATAATAAAATTTGATCTTGCTTAAAAAATTCTTTTAATAACTCGATTTGATCATAAAAATTTAATAATTCAAAACCGTGCAACTTGAATTCAAAAATTATTTAAATTTGAAATGATTCAAATTTTAAAATAATTCAAATCTAAAATGATTCGATACGACTTAATAAATTGATAAATTAAATTTGAAAAAAAAATATGGCTTTAAATTTAAAAATTACTGAAATTTTATTTTAAATTTAAGGTATTACTGTTATTAAAGTAAATAATTTAAAAAGTATAGCAAAATTTAGATTTCAACAATTATTAAAAAAAAAATCTATTAATACCTGAGAGAGATGGAAAATTCATAATCTACTGAATTATTAGGAATACGAGATTCAATCCAATTTAGAGTTCAAACCCAAACGAAAATATAGAGTACCAGAACCCGGCAGCCCAAGAACCTTAAAAAAAAAACATGCATTTGGGATCGATGAAACAAATAAGATAAGGACCAAGATATCTGTCATGTTTTTGAACATGCACTTCAATATTCAGTTAAACTCGAACACTTACTTTCCTTTTAGAACTCTTCATCCTTCAAATTTTACCCATTCTTATCTCTTTATTCTTCTTATCCTATGTAACTATTTTCTTCTTTTGTCATTTTTCTTTGTTGGGAGGTTTTGGTACTAGGAAACAGTAAGAATTAATCAGTGATGGAAGCGAGTGCAGAAACCAGTGTCAACAGTCAACATCAGCTGACTTTGGGGAATTTATCACGTCTAATTATGGACCTTTTGGCACCATTTTGGGCATGCAACAAACTAATATTTTCCCGTTGTTTGTCTGATGCTTTAACACTAGTCACTGGCACCATCATTTGTCCCATAAATGGAAACAAGGTTAAGCTTTGCTTGCAAGAAAACACAAAAAGCGTTCCCTTGGTCTTCATTGAACTTCCCCTTAGCACTGCAGGATTCACCAGTTCAATCGACTGCGGTGTTCGCATAGTCCTGGAGCCTGTCCCTGATTCAAGCATTACACAAAGGTGGGTCACGTATTGCAATGGGCAGAAGGTTGGATTTGCTAGAAGGCTGGAAGTTGGGGAGGAGAAATGGGTGCTTGAAATGATGCAGATGGTCTCAACTGGAGCTGGGATTTTGTTCCATAAAGGTTCAGATGCAGGTGGCTACAAGTACTTGAGAGGCCAGTTTGAGCAAATAATAGGTTCTGATGATTCAGAGGCTTACCATTTGGCAGATCCTTCATATTGGTTTGGACAAGAGTTTAGTGTATTCTTCCTTAGTAATTAGCAGCTTTTCATTCTGATTCTTTTAGCAGCATGATCTGATTGTTCAAGCATAACATTGAAGCACTTTTATTGGTTTCTGAAATTCACAACTTCTATGAAACATGCCAAGTAAACAATTTAGCAGGAATCCAATGTCAGAACCTATAGTTTTTCTGATCACAAGTTCAAATTGTAACTGAAAGTATAAATATGTTTATGGTAAATATACTACACTTGATACTGGCAAATAAGGAGATTAGCAACTAGTCGGGCTAAATCAAGAGCAAACTCACAGCAAAACTATAAACAAACCTCAACGCACATTACATAAATCATTGATTCTTCCTATTGCGTGATACATTATACTAAAGGATGCCGCAATGTTCAATCTTAACATTTCCCTTTTCATTTCTACTTTGTACAAGGAAAAATGTGAAATCTTCCAAAATGTACATACTTGCAAATGCGTCAGCTCAAGCACCGTATATTGATGCATACAGGCAATCATCTTACTAATTCTTTAGATATTAGATACCTAAAGGTAAAATTGTGAGGTATCCATTCAATGCTCTTACCGGATTTTCCTACCTGACATTTTCTAATACTCCTACGAAGTGAATCAGGCAAAGATTGTTGGATCGTTTCGATGATACCAGCCGGACACAAACTTGAGTCCTTTGCAAATGATTCAACAATCTTTGGTAATAGAATTTTCCGGTCTTTGCGGATGCCAAACATAGCCCGGATGTAATCTTCTTTTGCAGTTTCCAGCTCTTGAAATACTCTCTTTGGTGTGTAGGCACGGACCTAATGAAAAGAATAAATATAATGAGAAGGCTGATAATTTCCACCGAACAAAAAAACACCACCGAAAAGTTTATCAAGGCAAAGTCCAAAATTAACATCTTTCAACCGGTTCTTAAACATCCTATTATTGGTGCTAACATTAATGAAAAAAAATACAGATCAAAGATGATATAGTACCGCAGGATCAGAATGGTTTCCTGAACAAAGTGCAAAGTGTAAAAGAGGTTCTGGATGTTCAATCGCATAAGCCTGCCTTTCATCTCCAGTTTTAAATTTTGCCCTTGAAGAAAGTAATAACCAAAGCCACTACAAGCAGGAGCAAACTTTATCAGCACACCTTAAAACATGAGTTAATCAAGCTCACTGGGAATACTAAAAGTAAAACTACTTATTTGCGTCTCATTTGAAATAATTGACAAATTCCCTCTGCCTTTTCTGCCTTGTTTTTTTTTCTTTGACCAAGAAAAGGCCAAGCAAACATATCGTTCATGGATACCTTAGACAAGTTTCTCATGAAGAATAGTCATTTTGGACCATCTCTACAAGATCTAAACACTTTTAAGTAATTAAAGAATCAAAACTGAAGACAGGAAAGATGAGCCTTGAGATCTACCTTTCCAGGGCGAGACATGCGACATCCAAGGATGGAACTCTGTATTGTATCTGCACTGATGGTGTAACCCCCAATTTTATATGCAGCCTGAATAGTGGAAGAGTATAAGACAACACATACCAATCTAGTTTCATCAATCAAGAGATGCAACAATGAAACAGGTTATTCTTACCCTCAACAGTTGTAAGAGTCTCTTCACATTATTTTGAGGAATACCATAAGCCAAAAATGCCTATTATGGAAGAAAAGAAAGACTGGATGTAATCTATCGCATTAAAACTGAAGCCAAAGCCGTAACAGCAGATTATTTTCATTGATGAGAACACTTACATGCATCACTAATGAATTGTGTATGTTTATCCAGAATGCCAGCTTCTCTTCTTGTTTCAACTTCCTAGGATCAACTTTTTCCAGTCGACATATAAGTGACCTATAACAGAATGTTGCTTAGAAGATCCTCAAATCATCAAAAACAGGTTTTCTTGTGACAATTGCATGTCAGAAAGACTCACCTGAAATTTTGTAGCAAGTGTTCCACATCACCCAGTTTCTGACTATCTCTGAAAATCCATAGCACTTCAAACATTGTGCTATATGGTCCACTAAACTCCTTAAGTCCTTCCTCATGGAAAGGGTTATCTAACCGTACATCAAAAGATGAATTATTTCTGAACCCTGGACTCCACATGTCATGCTGATCTTGTGGAGAAAAACCACTGGCTGATGACATGGACGAATTGGGAGATAAAAATCCGTTTTGGATCAAAGGTGGGTCTGCAAGCTTGCAATATATAGCAGACATGCACTTGATCATATCCTCAGAAAGCTTGTTTGGTGTCTCTGGAAAATGATCAGAAATGCGAGTGCCAAGATGCTCAGCCAGACTGATTATATTTGATGCATTCTGAGCATACTGCAGAGAACCAAGCAAAAGTTACATTCCACAAAAGATCCTCAAATTGCCACACCTATCATATTAAGATATTATTTCCCATAAATTTAATTTGTTGTTGATGCAATCAAAATGGGATGATGATGACTGAACTACATTATCTCAAGCACAAAGACATTTGTGATAATTTATCCCAAAACCAACTAAAGGTAAACTACATAAGCTATTACTCATCAGTTTTCCAGAAAAAATAAATGGCATAATGCTTTACCATGTTCTAATATGACCAGCAATTAACCAAACATGAAAAATACAAAGAAATACAAATTTTCTGAGAAGATTACATGCTAAAAATAGGTTACCTCCATCATAGACAAAGGTTGTGAATGGCAGGCACGTACAGCTTTAGCCAAAGTCTCATCCGGAGGAGAAGTCCTATTTGAAAACATTGAATGCTGTGATAGTGAGGAATGACAGCGATGAACACCAGAATATAATAGTTTTTCTTCTCCAATGCCACTAGGCTCCTTCCATGAATTGTCACGATAACCAGAATGTACAACAGAATTTTCAACTTTTGACACATTGTCAGGTCTGGAAACTTCCAAAAATTTCCCTCTAGAGGTATATACTCGTGATTTTAACCTTTCATCCCTTTTAGATGGTGATATATAAGACACTTGTTGATCAAAGGCTTTCCTATACAATGAGAGAAGGTACTGTTCCAAATATACAACTTCCAACTCTAACACAGCAATTTCCTTGATTAACTCCGTAGCTGGCTGCAGAAAAGTGGATCAACTGTTAAGAGGCCGATATCAAGAACATATAAAGAAAGGGCACAAATTAGAGTCAAGAAATTAAATTCTAATGTAAAAATTGGCATAAATGAGAATTCAATTGTCTATTGAGTCCAGATGCAGCAGTGCTAGGAGCGATGTCATTAAAAAAACCAAGAAGAAGAACAGAAACAATGAACTCCTATTGTCCCAGAGAAATAAGAATTTAGAGCTACCTTAGATATGGACACTGATGATTCATTTGTATCATCATGAGAGTAAGTTTTATAGCCCAATGCTGTTTCTAATGCATGGCGAACCTCAAATTGATCTTGTAATCTCTTCTCAAGCCCTAAAATCTGCACAAAAGATATTTGGAAAGAATAAGAAAAAATCATGAGCAATGGAACTTTGTAACTAGCAAGTTGTAACCTAATCTTGGGTCCACTCCCAAATTAAACTCAAGCATTGTGATATCCAAAGATGACTCCACCGATAAACAGATTCAATTCCACACCTCTTGCTTCAAAGAGTTTTGGACCTCAGTGCTAGGAGTGGGAAATTGGTTCTTCTGGGATTTGACAGAGTCCTTCATGTCCCTCATGTCCTGGTACCAGATATAAATCAGACCCTTGGCCAATGGAAAAATATTCTCTAGGAGCAGATTAATTTAGGATTAGTATTCTTTCATTGATATCAAATAATCAGTCTAGCAAAAGACTAAACTCAGCTAAACAAAGCCTTATATCCCAGTTTTTCAAGCATAAATTAAATACAATCATTTTTTATTCAGCTCCATGTAGATTTAAGCTAACGGCTGATTTGTTTCAAATAATTTGATTATATGTTTCCCACTTGAACCACCTCTTACAGGCTATTATGTGTAGCAATGAAGAGGTAAAGGAAAAATGAAAAATAAAAGAACGTGGCAAAGGGAAAGAAAAAAGAGATCCTTGTAATAAGTTATATAGCTGGCTTTACATTGGATGCAGGAGAAACATAGTCATTAGTCAAAGAAACAAAAAGATAATCAAATCATTATGCTTTAACCTCTCTAACCAACTATAGAAAAATAAAAGCTTGCAAATTACTTTTTAAAATTAAAGGAAAGAGGGAATGAATTACCAGCTTTATACGATTTGATGCTTCAAGTGAACTATCCAAGACATCTTCCTCAACGCTTTTCTTATCAGGAAAGCTGCTATGTGACAAAATCAAGCACCAAGAATCAATAGATAAAATTTGCGAAAGGCAGCATTTGAGGACTGTCATTGCAATTCGTAGCCCTCTCATGAGTATTTACCAAAAATCAAGCAAAAAAGATAACTTTTATCACATATTTCTACAAGCAAGAAGGCCAAGGGTGAGTTCCTCACCCTGTACCAGTGGTCCGCGATGCTATCATTTTCTGAAAACTATCTCAAAAACGGTTTTCAATTACTTGAAGTAACTCGCCTTATTAATTACAAACGTTATACAAGAAAAAGAGAAGAATCAACAAATCTTTAGCGAAAAAAAGAAACATTTAATGGCAGAAGCCAAATTTCAAGCAGTTCCAAGATTTACAAGAACTCCCCTTTGTTACTCCATCTGGACCACAAAAAACATTTATTACCGACCAAAACTAGGGACATAGAGCCAAACTAATAAAGGAGAATATGCAAATATTTGTTTTCTACTTCTGTAAATGCTCAAAGTTTCAAGTTTTCTTAAGTAACCCCATCTCAGAAATCCTTCCAGTCACAGAAAAATCTTAACATCAGCGTACAACAAAGCTGATCGCAAACTAGCAAAAAGATTTTGAACAGTCACCTCTTTAAACGCTTGTGTCTTGATGATGTCACTCTCGATCCCAACATTTTACTTTCTCCACTGCCTTGAAATCCCATCACTGAGAAAATATTATCACAGAAAATTTGTTCATAACTGAACAGAAAACCAAAAGAAAAAATTTCTTTGAAACAAGGACAGCAGAAAATGGAACAAAGTAGCGGCCTTCACCAATTAGGCTCTAAAAGAAAAAACAAGGGAACATCAGGAGGGTTCTGAGGAAGATGAAACAGATAAACAATTGTGAGGAAAGAAAGAACAAGTGGGTTCTCATAGACCCGTGATTACGCTCTAAAACTTGTCTTCTTGCTTGTTTAAGACTACTAGGACTTCAAGGAACTACCCACAAAGCAGAAAGTGATCATTTTGCTGCTAAAAACAGCCTGAAACTTAGCAGAGGACTGAAAATGCTTTTGCATTAAAAACCACAAATACGGCTAAGAAAAGATAATACTTTTTGGCTTTTGACCATTGTTTCTTTCTCGGTACTCACTTCACTCACTCTATAAATCAATTAGCTTTTGCAACTTTTTTACATTAAAAGATGTAAAACCAGCTCGTGGGATTTAAGGGAAGAAGAAAGTTGGCATGGGCACAAACACAAGCATTGATTTTGACACCATACCCCCCTTGACGTCAATTGTCAAATTTCCCAAAGTTCACAGTTTTCTTCAATCAACCAGAGGTCTAAAGTAGACATAAGAGAGGAAGGTAACTAGTGGCTATCACTGCTCACAGTTCAGAGGAAGAAGTTCTAGTCTACGTTATTTTCTACTGTTGGAGAGCAAGTGGTGGTTGGTGACCTTCCGTGCTGCCCTGTCTCACGATACCATCCTTTTTTTAGTTTGATATATATATATATATATATATATATATATATATAGTGTCAGGAATAGTATGAGAGATATGGGTAATTATATCCCTCAGTGGTTTATTGTAAAAGGTTAGATTCTTATTTCGATTATCAAGATTTGTTTTTTAATAATTTTGCTATAAAAAAAATAGATATGGGTAGTTATCAAAAAAAATTTTTAATTCTCAAAAATTAATTTATTTTGGTAAACATTAATGATGCTAAAAAGTCAACTATCACAGTGGATGTGAACTTGATCATCTCCTTCATCAACTAATCTCAATTTAACTGTTTTTTGCCCCATTGTTCAGATATAAGAATTGTTTTTCATTATTCATGCATTGCTTCTTGGGAAAAACAATACTAATTTGCTGATCATAGTAATAAAGCCAAAACTGCAGAGCTACAGAAGTCTGGCCACCAGAATTTCTTGTCTTAGCTAACATATATCTTTTCTCAGAAAATGAAAGGGCCAAAAGGTCAAAGTTTTCTTTTCCTCCAACTTTGGCCATGAAGTTAGCTCCGCACTTTGCTTGAAATTTGGTGCATTACCATTGACCAGCTTGTTTGACACAGATGTGATTACCGGCCTATCACATGTATATATATGACTAAAGTTTGTCTCGCATTTGGCAAATCAAGCAACTCAATTCAATTGACAAAATCATCATTACTGTATTAAAATGGTTGCTTAAAATTGGTGAAATGTTGGTTAGTTTGATTTATTGTTAAAATGTTTCAGGTCACATATTGCTGTAATCCACTTGGAAAAGCTGGTATTTGAGTTGGTTTTTCAACTAATCTACTACAATAATACTCTAGCAAATAATTTATGCTATTAGGCAAACTTCCATTTGATTATATCATCAAGCATGCAGCCCATTTAGCCTCCAATTATCTTTAACATGTTGTTTTGTTTCTTTTATGTAAAAACATCAACAATTCTGTTGGCTTGATTCGCAAGTCAATTCAGTAAAATAATATATTTTACAAGGCAAAAAAAAGAGTCTCAAGCATGTCCTTCCAAATATAAAGGATTATAAACACTAATCAAGAACTTGTTTATGTCCAAAAGTAAGTTGCTAACAATAGTAACGTTAAAAACAAAAGCAGCCTCTCATCTCAAAAGAGATGGAAGGTGAAGTTGAAAGGTGACATTGGATGCTTAAAAAAAATGAAGGGAGGTTTTCTCTTTGTCTAAATCTCTTTTAAAGAAAATAGGTGCATAGCCAGATACCCTAATTGTCTTTGAGTATCAAAGAGACTAATGTTTGTCATAGTATCACAAAATTAAAATAAAAAATGCTGATGGGGCTTGGACCTTTTCCAAGATCAATACAAAAAGAACAAAAAAAAAAAAAAGTAGTTTTGTGTGTTGTAAGGTGGCCAGGTCCCTCTTTTTGTCGTCATACTCAACTAAACTACTGAGAGAAAGTTTCTTTTATCACTGCAACAAGGAAGAAGAGAAAAAGTTTTCTTATTGAAAAACTTTATTATTAATAATTGTTTAATTGACACCTTTCATATTGAGATTGCAGAAAAATCCAAAAGCCTGGTCTATAAACAAATGAGTATAGTAAGCAATGTAAGATTAAAGAAAACAATGTTCTAATATGATTAAACTTCAGGAGTAAGGATTATGGCTTAGATTGGTTGAAAATTTTGGCCCTTCCTGTTAAATCAATTGGTTGCTGCTAATTTCTACAATCACAGATTAATATGAGATAATACCCTCTGAGAAGCATGATTGTTTATGAGATTATAAAACTGATTAACATTAATCTGGGTATATAACATCATCATTTACTTGTTCTTGTACTAGCTTTGCTAAGTGATTCTTCCAATGCCAGGATGGAGTTTTTGGAGCTATCTGTAACAGCAATAGTTGAAATTTGAAAATTTTGCAGTCCCAGTAAGTAATAAACAAATGAAACTTCTATTTTATCTTATTATCTAGATTTTTATACAAGTTAGATGGGTAGCTTCTCAATGAAAAAAATATAGCAGTACCAAGAAAAACAATCTATATTACATTTGGTTTTTAGAGTTGAAGTTGAAGAGAATAAAACTTTCAAATGAAACTGACAGACATACTTTCTAGATCAATGAAATTTTCGAGTTGTATTGTGGATTACAAAAAATAACATCCCCTAATCTAACAGGCTAAGAGTTCCATGCATGATGCCATACTGAGATATTTCTTGTAAAGTTGTCAGTTTACAAGCACAAGAATAGGTTAGATACCCTTGTGTCTCCAGGGTTTTTGAATCGGGTTTACATTGCCTCAAAAATTGCAAAGTTTTATAACTTTCAAAAATGAAACTTGAATCAGGTTTTCAAAAAAAAAAAAAAGTTGAAACTTGAAAATCAATTAGAAGTTGGTGAGTAACATTTTGTACTTGCAGCAAATTCGCATATCTAAAGTAATCTTTTACTATAATATTCAACTGAAGTGATCAAACAAGACAAATTAGATATGAAAACAAAAGATGCATGAATTTCAAAGGAATTAGCCTGGAAAATTCAGGAAACAGTTTCTAAGGGCTCTGCTACTTAGGTGCTTGTTTTTGTTTTTGTTTCTGTTTCCATAGTTGTTTGTTTCTTGTGGAAACAAAATTATAACTCAACCTATCCTGTTATAGAAGCTTATCACAAAATCTCTAACCATCTGCTGCGCATAACAATAACAGTGCCAATTGTTTCTCTTGTTCTTGAAAAGAAAAAGAAAATCTCGTTTCCTTCAAATTAAATTGTTCATACTTCTTCACTAGTTTTTTAAATTTATTTGATTTGATAATGATAATTTGTCAGTTCTAGGGGCATGCATGGGGGCACAAATTTTCAAATTTATTTTGTAGTTAGCATTATTCTGCACTCAAAACTAGCTTTAACATTAGCTTTGACAAAAGAAGAAAAGGACAATTCAGATAAACAGTAATGAAGTGCTCAGATCACATAACTTTCTTCAAAAATGTGATTCAGAATTAAAAAGCAATGCTTCTCCATCTGAGACTCCCATGCATCTGTCAAGCCTTAAAGAGTGGGAGACTAAAACCGTGCTTTGAGATGGCCAAACAAAACCACAAAATCCATGGAAAATGCATATTTGGCTAAAGAAGAGAGATGCAAATAGAGAGAGGGTAAGCAATTTGGCAGTGTATGTAAAGTGGTTGGGAAATGGGAAGGCCTACGGCCCTTATGGCCTTATGGGGGTGTGTTACAAGGATGTGGCGGTATGGGTTAGGGAATAGGAAAGGTGTAGAATCCCATAATTGTGACAGGAAAAGTGAACTTTCCAAAGACATTTGGACAAGGGAGTCAATGCCAATCATATCCAGCAAAAGGTATCTCTCCCTTCGGACCCTTCCCCACTTTTGTCCCCACTCCACCTCCTCTCTCTCTCTCTCTCTCTCTCTCAATTTCATATGGGAATGGGAGGTTCAAAGTCCAAAAGAAAATTGATGCATCCCATAGCCATAGGGGATCAAGACTTGATTAATATCAATCAACGGCAATGTCATTGTTCTGTTTTTCTTTGCAGATAAATCAATAAAATCATTGTCAAGGTCCTATAATTTATCTGTGTTCTTGAGGTTCTAATCCCCACAATGGCGTACAATGCAGTTTATATCAAGAACATTCAGGCAATGGTCATATATAACACATTTTGTTGGTTTTCTTTCTTTAATTTTCTCAACGAATCCAATCATGTGCCTCAAAATTTGAACAAATACAAAGGAATAGTACTACCAAGGTCCAAACAAGGCTCCTGTCAGCCTGTGTACTTCTTGTCATGTGTTGAAATATGTCTCGTGGACTAAGAATGGACCATCATGTCTTCACCAAAAAGGATTAATCTATGATCATTTTCCTTAAAATTGTTAAGTTTAATAATGGAACACATCTCAATGGATGACTATATCTCATTGTAGCTTCTATAATTTGCCCTTAATTCCAACTTTTGAGTCCTTTGATTGCGCTAATCACAAATTAGTTATGTAATTATGTTACAGCGAAATGGGGTTATGTTGAAAAGAACATTTGAAAGTTAGCACAGAGTAGGTATGTCTGTCTGTAAATTGAAGATTTCTAAGAAAAGCTAATGTGCCTTTTTTTTTTTTTTGGGGGGGGGGGGGGGCGGGGCGGCGTGGGGAGAGGGAATGAAGGTTGACAATCTGGTACATTTGCTTTACTAAAAACTCCTCTGTAGCTTTAGTACCATCAATCATCCAAAGGAGAAAAAGAAAAAAGCAAGATGCCAAACACGCTTGACAAGTTTTAAGAACTCCTTGCCTTTTGTCATTACAAGTTATATAACAACGAGGGAAAGGTTAGTTGAATTCGAAATTTAATTTAATTGATTTATATAATTATTTGATAATATTTAATAAATTTGAAGTATAAATTTTAATATTTATAATTTATTTTTTATTTTTAAATTACAATTTTTTTATATGAAAAATAATAAAACATGTTTTGAGTCCAAATTAATATTCTAGCTTGTTTAAGAAAACCCATATCAGATCTATTTTCAGCATAACTGCTTCACTAATTTTGATAAATGATAAAACAAGCAGAATAAAATCTAATGTGACTTTCAACTCTTTCTAAGCAGATTATCTTTCTCTTTAGATTTAAACTTTCTCAAAGGAAGATAATAGAATAAAGGGGGCTCCAAAAGCAATAGAAAATTGGTATGGAGCAAAAGGGCCATAAGACAAAGAGATGGTAAACATAAAGGGTGGATACCCATCTTATCCTATTTTCACATCTCATTCCATTGTGTAAAACAGTTAGGAGCAACTAAATTCAGAACTAACCAAAGATTGCTTCTTTGTTTCAATTGCCATTTGTATTTGAGGTTGTCATCCAACTTTGGTTATAAAAATAAAAAATTTAATATTTTACCAATAAATAATTATTGACATAACCAAGCTTTTAGAGCTATATATACATATATGCTTTCGTTGTATCAAAATTTTAGCAAATCCTAGAAGTTGGAACCACTGATCATCATTCAATTAAAATAAGGAGTATTATTCTGAGATAAATATAGAATACAACAAAATAAATTGCATCCAACAATACAAAATTAGATGAAGTTAGTTGAAAACTTGAAACCAAACCACAATTCCTAATCATTTAAACACTTAATATTAGATAATTTGCTTTAGCAAATAGACACCACATGGAAAGGGTGGATTGGCAAAGCAAAAAAAAAAAAAAAAAAAAGAGTAAAACCACTCACCTATACTGAATTCATACAATATAAAGCGGTAGTTTGTTAATGATTTATATGGTTATTTTCATTGCATCAAAATAGGTCAATGGGAGAAGCTTCTCTGTGGAGTTCATTACAATTTAGTTGACTTTAGCTGTCCAAACTAATTTTACACTCTGCAGTGACCTCAAAACAGGAAGTAGTTCTTAAAAGAAGAAAAATCCTCTGGGTTGATGTTTTAAGACCTAAAAACTCTCCTTTAATAGGCCTATGAACTGTTAAAAGGGTGCCATAAGCCCATTAGGAGTTCAATAGAGAAGGTATTGGCCTAGACAGCAAGATGACAACTGTTGGCCCATAGTTGAACTCGAAACTTGAAAGTGAACTATCCCTCATCGCTTAGCAACTCTTGTTCTTTCTACATTAAGTACCTTGACTAGGCAGCGGTCCCCTGTCCCTACGGGGACATCCGATAAAATTGGAACGATACAGAGAAGATTAGCATGGCCCCTGCGCAAGGATGACACGCACAAATCGAGAAATGGTCCAAATTTTTTCAAATCTGTTTTTGCCACTTTTTTCTGCCAATTTTTTCCCTCCATCGATCAAAGGAGTAAGCATCTGCTTCAATGGCTTCCATTATTTGATTTTGCTTACTTTTTCTTTTCAGCTTTGCTAGTTTATGGATTTACTAACCGGCTAATGTCCTATTGCAGCTCTTTTGGGTTGCTGAGTTTTGTTAGAAATTTGGTGAGAATAACATAATTTGCTTCAGTCCTTTCTAAGAGTTATTTGTTTGAAACTATCCCAATATTAATTTTTATGTTTTTGATTGATACTTTTTTTTTGGAAGAAGATATACTAGAATTTCATGCATTTTGCTTATATATTTCATTTTCTTCTTGTTTTCTATCACTTTTCCCCTTTTTTGGTGCACCCGCGAAGAATTTGTTGCCCTTGAAGCCTGAATGCATGCAATTATTCTCTGTCAAAAAAAAAAAGGTCTGGGTTTTGATGCATTTGCTTTGTGGCTTTATGATCATGATTATGACAAGTACAATAATTCTTGCTTTCTAAATGCAGAAAATTTCCAATTCAAAACTCTAGCCTGGAAAAGTACATGACTTTATGCTGCTATAGAGACCTATCAAATGTGTTACTCTTGGTTGGCAAACTGAATTTGGATATCACCCTTGTTATAATTACTTAGGAAGATTGCATGTCATTTGAGAAAAGCGGGAATAATGGCCAGAATATTGCTGTGACCCCTGCATAAAAATTGATTGCATCATTAATTAGTATATCTTTAGGTTTTTCTTGTGCAGATTTGTAACCCTTAGTCTAGAAGACTTCACTTATTGGTATACTTTGATTTCCTTCATTTTTGTTGCTATGCAGCAAAAGTTCTAAGTTCTAACCACTATTGGTAGTTACATCTAATACCTCCCTATAGCTTTTTCCTTAATTATCTGTGTTCTTGTTGAGTTCTGAACTGATTCCTGCAGCACCTTGATGAAAGATTTTGTCAGAAAACCCTTAAGTCAGTTTGTCCAGGCCATTCCCCCTAGTTACCATGCCTTAATTTGGGTGAGCTACTTAATTAGAAAGGTGAACAAGAAAAAACATTCAAGCAAAGGTACAGATTCTGCCTTTTTTTATATTTTCCTAAGCAGGTGGGAACATATTGAAGTAGATGATATTATATATTTGCCATGATTTTGGAGACTGTATTAAGCTTGAATAGTCTCTTCAAATCCAGTTTTTTTTTTTTTTTTTTTAGTTTCCTTTAGGGGGTGGGGTGGGGGTTGGAGCTGTTTTGATCTCACAATTGGGGTTGCTGTGGATTGTGTTACTATCAATAATCAATTTACTTTATTAGGTTACCGGGATTTGATTGGAGTTCAATGGTTGCTGGTCACATATTGTAGCCTTCTCATTCAAAAATTGGCATAAGTTTGGAAATTTTGATTCTTCTCATTGCTCAGGCACCTTATTTCCCCAAAACCTCTACAATTTTCATTTTCCTTTCTTTTACTGGTATTTATCTATTGATTTTACCTTTTTGCAGGATAAAAGCAGGTTTCGGACAAGTTACTTTAAAACCTGGCCATTGGTGTTGGAAAAAGTCTTTTATTTCCAGCTTGAATGAATTATTGAAATTTTGTTTGAATTCTCCTTTTTGTTCCTTACCAACATAAATGACTATTGGTGTTAGTATTTGTTTTCTAGCAAATCTTTGTTGTTTTCTTCTAACAACTTTTGAGCAGATGATGAAAAGCACAATAAAACTCCAAATGTTTTTATTGGTATAGATTCATTATTTTCTAAGGAAAAACGTAGTAAAAGGTTAGAAGATGAAGAAGACAGCTCCAATGGGTTAAGACTTTTTAAACCTCTTCCAGTCTTCAAGCATGCTTTAGTTTAATTTTCTCTTACCGATCATGTTAAATAGTTGATCATTCCTCATAATAGTCCATGTCCATGCCTCTGATTCCTGGATAAACTCTGATTGAAAAGAATTTGGTCTTTATTAACAAAAGAAAAGTTACATTCTTTGATTTATTGGTTTAGTGATTTCGAACCTATTTTCTCCACCCAATGGACTAAAAAAAAAAAAAGAAAAGTTTCATTGATGAGATTTAGATTAATTTTCTTGAGCAAATGCTATTCAGCATAGGACAATCCAACAAGCAACAACAAAAGGCATCGATCGTTATCCTTAATCGAAAAAGATACAAATCCCCATCTATTCAGTAATTCTCCAAATCTGCTCTAACAGTTATATTCTATCTGCTAACGGAAACCGAAGAAAGTGCTCTGTTTAAGAAATTAGCTTTGTGGGGAGTTCTGATTAAGATATTTTAGGTTCAAAATTGTATTCTCTCATTTTTTTTGTGATCTGTGAAAGGACCGAAGGCAAAGGATGGGATAGCCATTAGCCAATAGCCCCCCGTTTTGAGTAGACTCTACACACTAACCAAAACATGAGACCACGCACCTCAATTTCGCATCTCGATGTCCATTGCTTACTAATACTACTACTATTACTGCTACTAATAAGCCTAGGAAACCAAATCTGAAATCCCTATCTCTCACTAAATTTTCGTCTTTACCAATTTATCATAATCCTCCCCCAACCACCCTCAACACCCAACCCCGAAATTTTCAGATCCTCCCCTGAGAACCCATTTCCTAGTTACTCTCCCCCCTTCTATTTATTAAGTTATAAAAAAGAGAGAAAAGCACCAAACCCCAAAGCCTTCTTTTCAGATTTTGACCCTTGGCACGTTGACTTAAAAGTCTAAAGAAACAGAACATAAGCAGGCCAAAACAGATCAAATCCAGTTTGTGTTTGATCTTCGTATATGTTTAGAAGCCTTTGACATTCACACAAAATATATTTTTTTTATCCTTTGTTGTTTCTCTTCTCTAGTTACTATCTTTATCTTAGAATTTTCCTTTCTCCTTTTCAATTTTGGCCACGGGGACATGCCCAACTCCCCATATCACGACTCGCGAACCACATCTATCAATCTACTCCCTAGACTTTAATAACACCCCCCACCCAACACCCAAACCCCACGGCAAAAAAAAAAAAAAAAAGCCTTTTCTCCAATTCCATTTGCCTAACCAACAAACCAACAACCATGGAAAATAAATTTTGGTGGTCTTCCTCTAAACTCTTTATGTAGAAGGTAAAATTCATTACCCATTGCTTTTTCTTTGTCTCGTCTATTAATTAAGTTTGGGTCATACACCTTTTCACATGTTATGCAATCTTATGTGTGTCACATTTTGCAGTCAATTTCTAATTCTATGGTTCTTTTCTATGACCTAGCTGCTCTTTGCTGTGCTCTTTCCTGCTGCTATGCCCTAAATATTAGTGCTATTACGTACCTTACCCCTCTACAACATAAGATAAAAAAACCCATTATCTTAAAAGTAATGAACCCATTCCTTTCCCTTGCAAGTTTAGTAAGATTTTTGGATATTAATTGTTCTTATGTACTTAGCTATATGTTATATGATTTGAGGATTATATATCTTTTATACGTATATGATCTGGAATTTGGACCCACCTACCATGTTATCACCATTTTGATGATCTGTATATGGGGTTTTTACATAATACGAATCTGATGGAAAAGCGGTTTTTATTATGGCATATTAATGAATGGTGAAATTTGTTCATTTTGTTACGGTTTTGTGGCAATTCTGTTTCTGGGTGTTGTTGGTTTGGGATTTTAGCTAATGATCTCCGGAAATTTTGGTTTTTGAGATGGATTTTAAGATCTGGGTCTAGCCATGCTGCAGTTTTCCTTTGGAGCAATAGCCTAGGTTTCTTTAGGAACACTACACTTTGATAGAGCAAACATAATTCTTTAAGTTTCTGGAAAGGTTTTTTTTGTTCTTTTTTATGGTTTGATAATATTATTGAAGCAATTGGTTATATTCTTCTACCTAGTACATGAAGACGTCCTTTTTCATTTATATCTAAAAGATGATTATAACTCTGCTAATTTATTGCATGAAAATCAAAATGAAATGATTGATAATAATAGAGAGTTCAGGTTTGTTTTAGATATGGGATGAACCGGAATGATTAAAATTCTGCATGGATTCAAGTAAATTTTAACTATCAATTTTTTACTTAATACCGGATGTTTTAGAAATGTATAAAATGCTATTAAAGGTGAAGTTAAATGAATTTAATGCTGACAAAAGACCTTTAGCTTCAGCACTTGCTTTCCTGGAAGCTGTTATGTTCTTTAAAATCTTAAATAATGTGAAATAAGTACATAATACAGTAATTGATACCAAATTTAGGCTGGTCATTTAACCCCTATCTAGATGTTTGCTTATAATGGACTTTTCCATGGCTGAATGGCATCATGCATTAAGCCCTATGTATTCAGCCTTCTGCAGGATCTTAGAGTTTCGTTTAAATTGCATGAAGTACATTCATGCATACTTATCTATGCATTTTACATTTTCATACGCACGTGTAACTGGTATCTTTGTTCCGTCTTTCTTTCAAGTCCTGCTTATACTATGTCATGTTGTTCTGTATTTTCTTCAGTTTTTGGTATGTTCCATCTTCCTGTGAAGTCCTGATTATACTATATCGTGTTGTTCTGTATTTTCTTCAATTTTCTGTATATATCCTCCATAATGTTTCTTTTGCATCATCTTATTCTTGCATGGATTGAGCTTTATTTGGACAGGAAAGTGACTTTGGGGATAATCAGTGTTCACGTGCACATTATACTGTTTTAGAGATTTCAGTTTGAATCATGGAAGTGCTCCCCTGTTCCGGTATTCGGTATGTTGCGGATTCTGATTGTGCTCAACCAAGTTTAGGAACAACTTCTACTTTTGACGGAGAATCTAATTGCATGGAACATAGAAAACAAGTTAAAGTGGCCGAAGGTAGGATGGATGACTTATTGCTAAGTGTGGAAGGGAATCCAGCGAGAAGACAGGATGAAGGCCAAGGCACACGGGATGAGTTGCCAATTTCGGAAGAACACCATAGTGGATCTTCATATTATGATTGTCAGGTAGAGGGCCAAAGATTATCTTGTGGATCGCATGATTATGAAGACGATGATTCAAATGCACAAAATTGTTGCACCGGACCTTACTTGGCCTCTGAAAACTCTCATCTAATTGTTGACACCATCGAAAGTGAATCACCAAGCAACAACGGGGAGGGAGAGTTGTCTCTTTCTGACCCCAAGTGGTTAGAGTGTGATGAATCTGTAGCATTGTGGGTCAAGGTAGCATTTCTTCTTTAGCTTTAATTCCATGAAATACCATATCTGGTATCCAAAGATTATGCTTTTGACTTCCATTACAGCAAATGTTTCTAGGATTTGCTCTCATGATATGCCTTCTGTTTATTTTTTGGAGTTGGTGTATTTGTGTGCTTAAAGCGTTATCCATTTATCCTCTTATATCCCCTTAATTATACCATCTGAATATTATCTCTATGAAAATCCTGTTTCTTCTGTTTGGTTAAATTAGTTTTTTTTTTTCTTAATTAAAAATTACTATAATTTTATTTATTCATTAAATTGCTAGAAGTTAAAAGTACATGCTGGATTTATTTTCATGTTGATACTCTTCTGTTTTTGCAAGTATAGTGGAGAGGAAAATGGCAGGCTGGAATCAGGTGTGCAAGGGCTGACTGGCCATTATCGACTTTAAAATCAAAACCGACTCATGACCGGAAGCAGTATTTTGTGATATTTTTTCCTCACACCAGGAATTATTCTTGGGCAGACATGCTACTTGTCCGATCCATCAATGAGTTCCCTGAGCCTATTGCATATAGGAGTCATACAGTTGGACTAAAAATGGTTAGAGATTTGACTGTCGCAAGGCGGTACATAATGCAAAAGCTAGCTGTTGGCATGCTGAATATAGTTGATCAATTTCATTGCCAGGTATTGTTTTCTTCTTCCTTGTATATTTGATATATTTACTCAATTCCTCAGCGCCCTTCTTATCAGAGTTCTATTCCTATTTGTGTAGGCTTTGATAGAGACAGCACGTAATGTGATTGTCTGGAAGGAATTCGCCATGGAGGCTTCACGCTGCTGTGGTTATTCTGATCTTGGAAAGATGCTTTTGAAACTTCATAGTGTAAATCCTTCACTTACTTGACATACTTCATAAGATGCCTGAAAAGTTACCAGCATTTGGTGATGGACCTACCAAATAATAGCATGTGATGTGGATGATTTGCCTTGTATAGAACCATCTGGATAAATGAAAATAAGGTGGTAGAGATTAGTAACATAAACATAGATTAGTGCTAGGTCTTCCCTACTACATCCATGCTCTTTTCATGAATTTGATTTAATGTAATGCATTAACTTACACTTTTAGTAGAAAATCATAAAAATAGAAGTTTTTTTAACTTTACATCTTTTTCTTGAGACTTTTAGATATGAGAATATATGCTGAGGGGATCGAAATGGTCACAAATCCTTAGTTGTTGAGTTCATGTTTGTTTAAGTGAGTTGTGTAATGACTGCTGTCAATATCATAACCACATGTGCATTAAAGATATAAGTAATAACATTTCTCCTCTTCAGATGATATTGCAGCACTACATAAATGCTGACTGGCTTCAAGAGTCTTTTCATTCATGGGTACAACAATGTCAGAATGCACAGAGTGCTGAATCCATTGAATTGCTAAAGGAGGTATATCTCACTCTATTGTTGCCCATTGATGTTAATATTGGTGTCTATTGAATGTGATTAGAAATTATGAATCACAAATGGCTTTCCCAAGTTTGTAGAATATTTGTCACATACATTCACTGCAACCCCTCCCTCTCTCCCCCCAAAAAATTGTAAAAAGGAAGTAAAATTTTTACAACTAACCCTGACATTTCATCAAGGCAACAAGGGGCCACACATCAGTTGCATAACTTTCTTTTCTCACGGGGCCGGGAATATTTTTCCAATTGCATTGTCAATTTGATATAAAAGTAATGTTTTTTTCTTTGTCTTTGATTCAGGAATTGTTTGATTCTATACTATGGAATGAGGTTAGGTCTCTTGGGGATGCACCAGTGCAGCCCACACTTGGTTCTGAATGGAAAACCTGGAAGCATGAAGTTATGAAATGGTTCTCAACGTCTCATCCTGTATCTACTGCTGTGGATATTGATCAGAACAGTGATGGTCCCTCAAACACAAACCTTCAAGTTAGCAGGAAGAGGCCCAAGCTTGAAGTCCGTCGTGCAGAGACACATACCTCCCAAGTGCAAAGCAATGGTTCAGATCAAACCATGACGGTTGAAATTGACTCTGATTTTTTTAGTAGCCGAGATGCTGTAGTTGTCAATATGCCAAAACCAGAACTTTGTAAAAAGGAAGATGAGGGGAAGGAAACCACACCGATGGATGCATCAAATAATCTGACTGACAGATGGGACAATATTGTAGTTGAAGCAAGGCATTCTGAGCTCATCCACTCCAAAGATTTAGAAATAATACCAGCAAGTGAAGAGGTCAATAGCACCTCAACTCTGCACATTCAGCCAAAAGAATTCGAATTCACGCCTTTGAATGAAGCAGTTGCTAAGAAATCCATAGATACTGGGAGTAAAAACCGGCAGTGCATAGCATTTATAGAGTCGAAGGGAAGGCAGTGTGTGAGGTGGGCAAACGATGGGGATGTTTATTGTTGTGTGCACTTGGCCTCTCGTTTTATTGGTAGCTCTGGCAAAACAGAAGTGACTCCCCTTGTTGATACACCAATGTGTGAAGGTACCACCGTGCTTGGCACTAGATGCAAGCATCGGTCACTATATGGCTCCACATTCTGCAAGAAACACAGACCCAAAAACGATGCAAATGATATTTCACATTCTCCTGAGGACACACAAAAAAGGAAGCACAGGGAGATTATTCCCAGTTCAGAAACCACATCCTGCAGAGATATAGTTTTGGTGGGAGACATTGAAAGTCCCCTGCAAGTGGAGCCAGTGTCAGTAATTGGGAGTGATGCCTTAAATGGAAGAAACAGTTTAAATGAGAACCCTGAACATTCAGGTAAAGATCATGATAACACAGAATTACTGCATTGCATAGGTTTATACTCCCATAGTGGTTTTGATCCTTGTCATGAAAGTCCTAAGCGGCATTCATTATACTGTGATAAACACCTTCCCAGCTGGCTCAAGCGTGCAAGGAATGGTAAGAGTAGGATAGTAACCAAAGAAGTGTTTATAGATCTTTTGAAGGACTGCTATTCACTTGAGCAAAAATTGCATTTACATCAAGCATGTGAACTTTTCTACAAGCTCTTTAAAAGTATTTTATCTCTAAGAAACCCAGTTCCTATGGAAGTCCAACTTCAGTGGGCCCTTTCTGAAGCATCAAAAGATTTTAAAGTTGGGGAAATTTTAATGAAATTGGTTTACAATGAAAAGGAGAGACTCCAAAAGTTATGGGGTTTCACTGGCAATGAAGGTGCACCTTTGTCCTCTTTTGTGGAAGAACCAGTTCCCTTGCCATTGGCGGTCAATGATATCTTCGATGATGACAAGGCCATTAAGTGCAAAGTTTGCTTGGTGGAATTTCTTGATGACCAGCAGCTTAGCACACACTGGATGGATAATCATAAAAAGGAAGCACAATGGTTGTTTAGAGGTTATGCTTGTGCAATCTGCCTGGATTCATTTACTAACAAGAAAGTTCTGGAATCCCATGTTCAGGAGAGACACCATGTGCAATTTGTTGAACAGTGCATGCTTCTCCGATGCATTTCCTGTGGCAGCCATTTTGGCAATACTGATGAATTATGGTTGCATGTGCTGTCAGCTCATCCTGTTGATTTAAGACTGCCAAAGATTGCTCAACAGCATAATCTATCTGTGGGTGAGGAATCTCCACTGAAACTTGAGCTTGGCAATTCACCTTCTTTGGAGAATAATTCGGAGAATGTAGGCAGTTTTCAAAAGTTTATTTGCAGGTTTTGCGGCTTAAAGTTTGATTTGCTGCCTGATCTTGGCCGCCACCACCAAGCTGCTCACATGGGACCAAGCTTAGCTATTTCTCGTCCCCCAAAGAGAGGGGTTCGTTATTATGCTTATAAACTAAAATCTGGGAGACTTAGCCGTCCTAGATTTAAGAAAGGTCTGGGGGCAGTGTCATATAGAATCAGGAACAGGGCAACTGCCACTATGAAAAAACGCCTACAGGCATCAAAGTTGATTGACACTGACATCATCAGCATAGAGCCTGATGCAACAGAGACAGCAAATCTTGGTAGATTAGCAGAATTCCAGTGCTTAACCCTTGCAAAAATATTATTTTCCAAAATTCATAAAACAAAACCGCGACCTAATAACTTGGATATTTTGTCTATTGCTCGCTCTTCTTGTTGCAAAGTAAGCCTCATAGCCTCATTGGAGGAGAAGTATGGAATGTTACCAGAACGTACGTACCTTAAGGCAGCCAAGCTTTGCAGTGAGCATAACATTCAAATGGAGTGGCACCAAGAGGATTTTGTATGTGTAAATGGATGTAAGCCTGTCAAGGACCCATATTTATTGTCCCCATTGATGCCTCTTCCTAATGGCTTTGCTGGCTACCCATCAGCAGATTCCTTGGATCATGTGGATGAGGAATGGGAGCTAGATGAGTGTCACTATATCATTGATTCGCAACATTTTAGACAATGGCGCGTGCAGAAGGCCACTGTCTTGTGTGATGATATAAGCTTCGGGAAGGAATCAGTTCCTGTAGCTTGTATAGTGGATGATGGTTTTTCTGATTTCCATTACATCTCTGGTGATAGTTCCATGCCTTGGGAGAACTTTACTTATGTTACAAAATCTTTGCTTGATCAATCCTTTGATCTTGATGCTGAGGTACCTTTGTTTTTGATAGTCATATCCTTTTCTCTATTGCTGCTTCATATAGATTCATTATAATTATTCCTGAGTGGAGGTTACTTCGGTTGCATGTCACAATGACCTTACCGTGAGAAGTTATTCTTAAGATACTTGATAATTCCCTTACCTGGATATTTCTGGGCTTTGTTTGATGGTACCATCAAATGCAATTTATTAAGGAAAGGCATCATCCTTGTTTCGTGGCTTTCATCTTCCCTCACATGATGGGGTACATTTGTACATTGCTTGGATTGGTTTAGCTCTTATGTTTTGTTTTGTAATATTTTTGTCATTTTTACTTCTATTTATGTTCATATCCTTTCAGACTTTGCAACTTGGTTGCACCTGTTCCAATTCAACATGCTGTCCTGAGACATGTGATCATGTGTATCTCTTTGATAATGATTATGAAGATGCAAGAGACATATATGGGAAACCCATGCGTGGTAGACATCCATATGATGACAAAGGGCGTGTTATCTTGGAGGTACTTTAATTCTTGTTCTGTCAACCATTACTATTTTCTCTGTCAACCATCATATTTTGCTTGCTTTTAGTGTTTCTTATATCACATATAAAAGAGTATTTGCTGTTATATGCTTGAAGACTTTTTTAAACAGTTAATCAGATATATTTCTTCTCTTTGTTGTTGCTTTCCATGCAATGAATTTTTTATAATAGCCTTATCAAGGAGTGCAACATTGACCTGATTTGATACTAATAAGCATCTAATATGATGTTTTTTCCTCTTTCAGAATTACATAGCTTCATGATTCAAAACATTATAAAATGTCAAACCCTTTTTGACAAGTAGATATGATTACTTAGTCTGGTTGGTGTCCTTGCTGCTCTCTTTGATTCTGGTTTATATCTTGTGATTAAACCGTTTTGAAACTGTGCAGGAGGGCTACCTTGTCTATGAATGCAATCGCATGTGTAGCTGCAATAGAGCATGTCCAAATAGGGTTTTGCAAAATGGAGTACAAGTGAAATTGGAAGTCTTCAAAACAGAGAATAAGGTAATAATTTCAAGTTTTGGCTGTATTCTAGAGTTTTGTCCTTTGATGTTGCTTCATGTTGATCTTCAGGGCTGGGGAGTCAGGGCTGGTGAACCAATTCTGAGTGGCAAATTTGTGTGCGAGTACATCGGTGAGATTTTAGATGAGCAGGAGGCAAACAATAGGGTTACCAGGTTTCACTTCTTGATTTATGAAGATCTTTTTTCACCTTTTGCTTGCTTTTATGCTTTATGTTGAATAGGCTATATGATCGGCTTTCAGGTATGGTAGAGATGGTTGCAACTACATGTACAATATTGATTCTCATATCAATGATATGAGCAGATTGATTGAAGGACAGGTCCAATATGTTATTGATGCAACCAAATATGGAAATGTTTCTCGGTTCATCAATCATAGGTGAGGATACACTTGCTTTGCATCATATGCTAAAATGCTTTCCCATACTCTTTATTCTGGTATTTCTAAATTGTTACTTGATCATAATAATTGTGTGAATGAGGATTCAGAGGTTACAGATATATTATTCATTTTTTTATTGTGAGAAAGACTATGCCCTTTAGCATTTATAACTTTTGTGAGGAACTAGTGCAGCTAAATGGTGCAGTTCAACTTTGCTGTACTTAAATAATGATCCCATATCTCTACGTTTGAAGTCTTGAATTTCTATTGATTCACTCTTGAGAACTTCTTTGTCTTCTTTCCTTTTAATTCTCCCTAGTTGCTTGCCGAATCTTGTGAATCATCAAGTTCTTGTGGACAGCATGGATTGTCAGCGTGCTCACATTGGTCTCTATGCCAGTCAAGATGTAAGCACTTCTCAACAATTTAGAGTAAAAATCTGTCACATCTCTAAAATCTAGGACGATCTAAGTTCTGTGGAAGACATTGTGGTTTAGATGACTGAGTTTAATTGGGTGGGTTGTCAAAAAAAAAAAAAAGAAAAGAAAAGAAAAAGAGTTTAATTAGTTGAAAGAAAAAAGGGTTCAAATATGCATCTGTTAACTTTTTTTTTTCTTCTACCAACATGTAGTAGGTGATCTCTACAATGCTAGTCATGACCTTAACTTCTTTGGAATGGTTTCCCCGCACATCTGATTAGGAGTAGTTATGTAAGACTCATGTTGTTGGGAAAAAAAATCAAAAGAATTCCATTGTTCTAGTATTATACATGTATTGAATCATGCCACCTTTTCATTTAACAATTTTGCAGATAGCTATGGGTGAAGAGCTGACTTTTGACTATCGATATGAACTGCTGCCTGGACAAGGATATCCATGTCAATGTGGAGCTTCTGCATGTCAGGGCCGTCTTTACTAAACCAACCCTCGGTGAGCACTGTGGGGTCTCCATGGCTTCTAAGTATTGCTTTTTGAGTTCACAAATAATGATACAGAACTCTAACATAGGAGCTCTACCTCCATCAAGCCAGTCAGGTCTAAATCTGGCTGTCTTGCTGCAAACATTTTCTGCACTTTTAGCAGGTCGTTCTTGCACTAAGGCAGCCGTAAACTGCCAAATCTCTATCAGTGGCAATGGATTCAGCAGGCATCAGAAAGAACGTGCTACTTTCAGTGTGGAATTCTAGACCAAGCCAGATGGTATCTACTCTATTTCTTCGTTCTAAACGGGCTTCAAGGAAATGGGATGAAAGCTTAGAGTATATTTGGTAGATCTCTGTTTAAATTCTCCCCTCTCCCCCAAATTTATTTTTTCTTTCCTGAGTAATGAAGTCACTTTTGGGTAAGACATAATGTAGATTTTCCCCTTTTTCCCACATTTGTACGGAGTTCTTAGGTTGATAGCTTAGCCTATGAATATTAGAAAACAGTTTTGATAATGCTTGAATTGCCTCTTTTTGGAAACCTGCATTATATGCCCCTTCTCTCTAGTTTGTTCTCCATTGTATAAAGTTTGAGCAATTCCTTTTGTGTTTTGCTTTATTCAAGTTATTTCAATACTCGATGAGGACATCCATACAGCTAGTAAAATGAAAGAAATTCGCCATTGTATGTGATATTTTAGAAGTAAACTGATTAAAAATGATATGACTAGACAAGGTATATCATAACTGACTTGTCCAAACTTCAATTTTCTTAAGCGGGTTATAAACAAATGTTCTCCAAAAACAAACAGAAACAGGGATGACTAATCCTCAGTCTTAGCTGTCATCTGATATTTGTCACAAAAAAGTTACAGATGTTGCATTAGCAAAATGCTAGCGGTTCCTATGATCAACTATGTGTGTTGTTGACGTGTCAGGTAGATTCCAGGCAGGAAAAGGAATCCTGATCCATCCTCAGCTGTTGTCTAGAACGTCATTTCCCCTTTCTGAACCACAAAGAAGACAAAGGGAAGCCCGTAACTGACAGCCACTAAGATCGCCATTCCTGTTTTCACAAATTTAAGCAGAAACATGACAATTAAAACTGTCAGTCTCAGTTTCAGGTTATGATTTTCAGTGTACTTTCATTTCATTTTAATTCAAGTTTTCAACCATGCAACCCCGAGGTGGAAGCTCATGAACATTTCTAGTGTCTCACCATATTCAACAACTCTTCCAATTTTCTTCTTCTTTCCTTGCTTGAGATCCTTTGATTCTGATAAAGTCATCAAATGCAAAATCATGGAGCTAATAACCAAAGCACTTCCAGTTTTCTCCCTAACAACTCTCTCAGTCAAATCTAATGACCAGAATCCAGCCATCTTACTTGAAAAATCTCCAATCACAACCTTAATAAACAAGAACACTCCAAGCAACAGTGCTACTTTTGCAATAAGCCTGGTTGATCCTTTAGGGGATGTTCTCCAATTCAGCAGATTAACAACACAAGCACAAGCATAGAGGGGAAACCAGAAATACCAATCTATACCAATCAATATTAGAAAAGAGAAAACAAATTATCGGCTATCAAAACAAAAACCAAATACCAAAATCTTAAACAGAAAATCAATAATCCGTATACCAGGGTCATTTAACTGAACAGATGAAGAAAAGCCAAACATGATTGCCATTAACAAAGAAGAGGAGCTGAATAGCTTTCTGGGTTTTGCCATTCTCTTGGTTTGAACATGCAAACAAAGTTATTACCATGTTATGTGTACAATAAAAATAATAGGCACGCAATTACTATGGTCAACGCTTTATGGTAGCCAAGTACTCTTTAACTTAGTTATATTTATCTATCATCAATGTACTAGCAATATTCTGGAGTAATATATAACATCAAAAAATTGCGTTATTTTCTCTGCAAATCACCTTTCTTTTTTGAGGCAATGACTTTTGGGGCATATCAAGAATCTTTCATACCAAACCTGTCTGTATTATATTCACTATAATAAATAAAAGCTTTGGAAGGAATGAGGGGGCATGCATCTCCATGTTTTTACATGTTAAAAAAATGATGTTACTTTGATGAAAGAGAGATTAAGTTTAAGCTTCTAAGAAATGGTTGCTTCCATTGATGAAATCGAGTTTTTTTGGGGAGTGGAGAATAGAAGCTCGGCTAAAGAAACAAGGCGGAGACCGGGACCACATGGGCAAGGGGTTTTGGGTGACAGTTTAAAATCAAGCGCATGACATAGCAGACAACTTAGCTGATCTGCTTTGGACATTTATCCACAAGCATGGCAAAAATAACAGTACTTCAAGAGTGAGCCAAAACATGTTGCAGATAAGGTTCCAAACTCATTGTTTCAAGCTGTTGAGCATGCAGTACCTCTGCCAAACACAGTTTTTAGGGTAGCTAGATAGAATTGAAGACAAAGAAAATACAAAGGAGAACAAAAAGTTTTTCCAAACAAAAAAAGAATGAATCTAGTGAAAGGAAAAGAAAAGAGAAAAAAAAAGTTTCCTCAAATTATGATACCGTTTGCTTATTTTTTTGTTCTTTTCATACAAACATGTAATAAGAAAATCAGATATTTCATTTCTCACTTTTTTATTTAATTATATATTAAATTAGTAATCGAGTATTGATTTATTTATAATTATCATGTGGAACGAACTTGTTTCAAATAAAAAAGGGGAAAAAATAGAGGTGTTGACCCATAACATATAGAGGTCCATTCTTGTTATTGGGTTTAATGCTTGAGATATGATTGATCATCATGTAATCTAAGATACAAAGTAAAAATATATAGATATCAAACGGCACAGAGTATGTTTTTTTTTTTTTTTTGGCCGTGAATGGCAGATAGTTAAGGTTAGTAATATTTATTAGATTAGAGTGAGTTAATAATTGAGTAGCATAAACATGGCACACGAGTCCAGCAGGGACGACCCACCACATGAAGAATGATTAAAAGGGTGGGCCAAATTTCCAGCCAGACCATCTTTGCAAATGGTTTTCCTTTTGGAACCACTGATGATGAAACCTTCCTCTCTTTTTTCTTTTCCATCATTGCTAAAACCTCCATTATTGCATTACAGCATGGCCTTTAGAAGGGAAATCAGTCCTGACATGAGGAAAACCAAAAACAAAAGAAAATGGAGGGGTAGGGGGGCTGCCCCCAATCCCAAACCCAAAGTCAAAAAGATTTTGAAGAGCTGCTTTGATATTTATTTTGGTCTTCTTTCTAACTAATGCTATCATCTTGTATGGAATTGTGCCATCTGCAAAACCTTTTTTCTATCTAATTGCTATCATTTCCTTCCTTTTTATAAAGGAAGTAGGGGGAGTAGCATATTTGAAACAAAGGAAATATATTTTCATGTTCCTAGGAATTAATTTGAATGACACATGGGTCCAGTCAAGCTTTTGTTAAGATCTGAATTGATGGCAAATCTGAGAGCAAAGAAGGTCATTTAGTTATAGCATAAATGGATTTTCCCCCACTTTGCTAGGAATAAAAGCATCAAGGAAATGATCCTAAGAGTATTCAATAATGAGAAGATGAATTAAGAAAATGTTTTCAATAATAAGCTGAGTGTTTGATTAGAATCTTCATAACTAGGAAATGTAATAGGATATTAAAGCTGTTTGATGCAGATTATTTAATTCTAGTTTAAGTTGAAACTCCCAAGGTCATAATAATCTTTCATAAAAAAGTTAGGGTAAACATGCAACTATAATTAATGTTTTTGGCTCTCCTTGGTTTTAAATTAATGTCATCATAGATTTGTTAAGCTCAACAGAAACTATATTATCTAATTAAAAAAATTAAAATCATAATTCAATTCAATTAATTTATACAATTATTTTTAATAAAAAAATTTAATATATTTGATAATCATAATCTTAACATTTATTACTTTTTTTTTATCCTTAAATTATGATTTCTTTTATAAAAAAAACCTAAAAAATATATGTTTAGACATGAATTCAAATGTCTCTATTACTCTTGAACCCACAAATATATTTCAAACTAATCAAAGTGTTATGCATGTTCTCAGTTTCTTTTTAGATGATAGGTTTGTTTGAATTTAATGAAACTAATGATTTTTTCATGTGTTAATAAAATAACCCTTTCTTATCTTCTTACACTTCTGGTTTTTGCATTAAAATTAATTATGGAAAAAGTTAAATACATTGGGCATAATATTTTATATATTTTTATAATTGAAGTTATTAAGATTTAAATTTTAATTATTAAAATTAAAGATTTAACATTATATTATAAACTATGCAATTATTGATGAGCATAGCATTATTAAAATAAAGAAGAAACCAAATGGATAATTGCTTGCTTCTATGACCATTTTTTAATATTTAGAATAGAAAACCTTCAAATTAGTAGAATAAATGATCCAACCACAAATCTCACCTTTATGTAGGATGGAAACTATTCAAATGGTTCCTAAATCAACCTAACTTTGGTGGCTTTTAATTTAGACAAATCAGAGTTGTAAATTCTCTACATCTAACAGAAGAAAATTTTGTTGAAAAAAAAAAAAAAAAAGAAGAGAAAAACATGTGGTCTTCAGTTCCCCACAAAAATACACAGTGTAAGTTGGGACTTTTTGCTTTTGGACCATCCATCATTTTCAGTTCGTCAACAATCCTATTCCCTAGCACTATCAAAATTAAACTGTTTGATTCATCTCTCACTCTTCATAAAATTTTCCCATAATGCCCTTCGCCAATACTCAGTCTGAGTCTCTGACAACCAATTTAACAGCCTCTTGAGGGTATCTCAGCCATTTCAAACAAACCCACCTGTACTCATGTAAAAGATGCTCACTTTTTGCATAGGAAATCCGGCAGCGGCCCATGGAAGCATCGTTCCAAGACCGAAAGAACCCAAAAATTTATGGCGTTTGGCAAAATTTTACAAAAATTAATAAAGGTTGAAATTTTAAAAGAACGATGATGAAACACAATTAAAAAAAAAACAAGGAAGCTTGTTTAATTATAAAGAAAGTGTTTTTTAAGACAAATGAAAGAATATTCAGGCTGGCTGAGACATACAAAGTAAAACAACCATTAAAAGCATAGGTGAGACAGAAACAGTGGTAAAGTAAAAGCAATCCAAACCGCATCAAGTTCCTCTTTCTTTTTGTTTGTGGGTTTTTTTTTTCTATACACAAAAAATAAAAGTGAAACTTTACTCATTATTCTGGCCCGAGTAAAGTCTGAGTTGAATGGTTCCCTTGATGCTTGACACCAGAGCTTTCACTCAATCATTTTAGGCACCCGTGGGCTTAGAAATAAGAGATAAGAAATGGGTTTTCAGGGGAGATACCAGGTTACACATAACACATCAGTTTTTCTTTAGCTGAGGTTTTTAGTGTTTGGAAGTTTTCAAGATTCTCTATGTTGGGTGTAAGAAAAGGTACTCTTTTTATGCTTGTTTCTCATTTGTATAGGTAAGACTGTAAGAGTTTTCAAGTTTCTTTCTTTTTTTCTTTTCCCTTTTTTCTGTGGGATTTTTTTTTATCTATATTTAGGAGATAGGATTTTTTTATCTAAAGATTTTACTTTTTTTTCTCTTTCCCTTTCTTTGTTGTTGTTGTTGTTGTTGTTGTTGTTGTTATTATTGTTATTGTTTTTTGTATTGCTAATACGATAAGTGTCTTGAAAAAATTTTAGGTTCTTAACTTTTTAGAATCTTTATTTTGTTTAACTCAGATTACCATTCAAAGTTTGTTTTATCTTAGGAAAGTTGTAAGTTGGAGTGCTTTAAATTTTTTATAGTTTTTTCACTTATTGTTTTTGGCAGGTTTGTATATTCTTTTGCAACTTTACCTCTAGGGGGTTTGCGTCCTATTTTCTTAAAACAATGCATTGAGTTCTCGCTGAAAATGGCTGAAATTAGATTTCCTAGGGTAGAGGAAGGCCAAACCAAGATTAGAAATGTCCCAATTGCTGTAACCCCTGAAGGTTTTTGGTGTTGTCCATCTCCTGTTGTGTTCCAAAAGACTCTCAAATCTCAAAATCCTCTAAACAAACCCAAATCCTCCTCACCACTACCCAAGACTACTGTTCAGAAGAAGCAGATCCCGCTAACTGAAAAGAAGCTAATGACCACCCCAATAAGGTCAGCAGTTAACTTTGATGATCAAAGAACTTTTACCCCAGATAACCCTGGTATTAGTACACCAATTGTTCCTGAGAGGACGCCTAGGCCTAAGGTGGAACATGTGCCTAGGAAGGTGGCAATTGAGTTTGGTGAACCGGGAACCAGTGATATGAAGGTGATTCTACTTGGAAAGCAAGGGTTTTGTGTGAAATTGAGTGTCCACAAGAAAGTTCTACTGGAGCATAGCAGTTTTTTCACTGATAAACTTTCTGAACAAGAGTCTGGTTTGTCTTGCCTTGAAATGGATGACTGCGAGGATGTTGAAATTTATGTTGAAACTGTGGGACTGATGTACTGCAAAGAAATGAAGCAGCGATTAATCAAACAAAGTGTTTCACGTGTGCTCCGCATTCTCAAGGTAATTTGCTCATTCGTGATATTGCCTTTCTATTTAGGAGCTGAATCTTTTTTACTTCTGTATACACACAAACATAATGAGGACACCATTTGTAGTTTATTCTGATCTTAACAAATTGTAATCTTAGACTCTTAGTATTGCTACTCAACTGTTGTCATATCTCTTCCACTTCATAAATGCTAGTGAAGAGACAGTGTTTTTTCAAGCTCAGATTGAAGGCATATCTGCATACCAGGTCCATTTGTTATTTACTCTGAGATTGTCTACTTGCATAATCTTTCTATAGCCTTGTTTTCCTCTTATCAATCTGCCTAAATTTTGGTACATTGGTTGTTTACTTGGATTTCATGCTTGCCAGAAAATCAGTATAGTGGTCTGTCTTCTTGTTAGTTTCTGTTATGTGGTTTTATTAATTTATTCAACTTGTGTCGTGTAACTTTTTCTTGCATATTCAATTCTTGCTATTATTTCTGCTCTGCAATATACTATCGTTTTTTAGTGTGTTCCAATTCCTTGGGCAATTAGCTGTTTCATTACAACCCATTTACATTTACACTGTGCCATACTTTATAACTGGCAGTGCAAAATTTCTTTCTTATGTTTGGAAAGTAGAGTAAAAGAAATGTTACCATTGAGGATGTATGTTATAAATATAGCTTGGTTTTACTTGGATTCCCATAATCTCTTATACTTTAGTAAAACTACTGGCTGAGATGGATTTCCATCCTCAGAGGCAGAACGATGATGTTGCCTTGTTGAAGGATGATCATGACTTGAAGGATTTGTGGAAGGTTATAATTGATTATCAATTGATCCCGTTAGCAGCTGGCTATGACCTGTTTCTCTGCTTGATGCTAATTAGCTTATTCTTGCAAAAAATAAGTATGATATAACCTGCACGTTCTGTTTCAAATTTGTACATACTTAGTGAAGGATACTCTGAAACTTTAAAGGTGCATGGTCTATTGTATGTCCACCCTTGAATGATATTCACTAGTTATGGTATCTAATTTTTGTTTATTGAAAATCACCAGAATGTTGATGGATATCCAACAATTTGTTTAGTCATAAACTTCAACACATGTAGCATGTACATTGAAATGTCTCTTTTAGCTTTATGTGAAGCTGGCTTCTGTATTTTAGAGTTTTTGTCCTTTTATGAAATTTTCCTTATGCATGTAATGATCTTCTTTGCAGGTCGCTGAACTACTTGGATTTAGCTCATGTATGCACGCGTGCTTGGAATACTTGGAAGCAGTTCCTTGGGTTGGCGAAGAGGAAGAAGAAAAGGTGGTCTCTTCAGTTTTGCGCCTCCAGGGTGAACGTATTGGGGTCACGCCATTATTAAAACGCATATCTTCTGGTGTCTCTAATCCCCCAAATGACACAATTTCACACATAATGGAACTTGTTCTTAAAAGCAATGAGGAGAGAGGCCGGCGTGAAATGAAATCCATAGTATTGAAGCTTCTGAGGGAGAATAATAGTCTGCCAAGTTATACCTGTTCAGCTGACATCTGCAGTGAAACTGTTTATACATCTTGCAGAAGCTGCTTGGATTCACTTTTGTCTCTGTTCAAGCGAGCAGTTGAACCAGAGTTCACTGATAATCCCATAGACAGCAAAGAACCTGTGGTGAAGCAAATAGCTTTGGAGGCTGATAATCTCTTGTGGTTGCTTGAAATTTTGGCTGACAGGCAAGCAGCAGATGAATTTGCATTAATGTGGGCTTGCCAGCAAGAGTTAGCAACATTACATTCAAAGCTGCACATTGTGTCTCGTTACCATGTTAGCTGCATTACAGCTAGGCTATTTGTTGGAATTGGAAAAGGGGAGTTGCTACCTGTGAAGGACATTCGTCAGTTGTTGCTAAAAACCTGGTTGCAACCATTGATCAATGACTACAGCTGGTTGCAACATGGCTGTAGGTCATTTGATCGGAAAGTTGTGGAGGAAGGTATCAGTAGGACAATCCTCACATTGCCTCTAGAGGATCAGCAGAGCATTCTGCTTGCTTGGCTGGGCAGTTTTCTTAAGGCTGGTGACAATTGCCCAAATCTTCGGAGGGCATTCGAGGTCTGGTGGCGCAGAACTTTCATTAGACCTTATGCAGATGCCCAAGGCAATGTACTCCAGTCAGATAGCTCAATGACATCAAAGCAGTAGACTCAAGAGATAACAATACAGGTGATGCCATATATAAATTAATTGGAATTACCTTTAAAGTTTGCAGAGAACTCCTTTAAGCTTAAAATAACGATATACTGAAACAAAAGTACTTGTTGAGTACTTGGAGTATTTCTCCATTATCAAGAGTTGACATGGCAAGTCTCCTTGGACGTTGCGTGATTTCAGTTAACTGCTTCATGCCCATGTTTTCTGCTAGAATTCAATATGGAATGTATAAAACTTACTTTGGATTGACTGAGTGCTGGTTGATTGTTTTGATCTGGCAATTCTCATAAAGAAATTTAAGTAGCAGTTACTTTCCTGTGAAATTTCTTCTGTCTCAATGTATGGTTGTGCATTTTCCCTGGAGGAAGTTAATGTCTTATTCCCTTTTTATATCTCTGTAGAATCCAAGTTTTCATTAGAAGTTAGTTTGACATTTTGGTTGAGTTGCAAAACTGTCTTTGAACATGTGATAATGGAAAATTCGATTGGTGTAAAATTAATTTGTTTTGAACAAAATTTTATTGGCATTCTCGTAGTCCATTTTTATTTTCATATCTTTATGAAACTTAGCCCGTTCTGTTCTCTTCTCAAAATTGACCAATTGCTTTTTGGTCCCACGGCCTGCTTATTGCCCATAACCTAACTAACAAGAATACAGCAAAGCATAGGAAGCCCAAAACATTGTGTGGGCTAATCTCGGACTAGCCTTCCATTAAGTCTTGATGAATTTGAAAGGCTTCATAAATATTGATCTAACTTCACATTCTTATCTTGTCGTTGCAGTTTATTAAAAAGCAGTGACATTGGAGTATAATGTCTCTTCTCATGCTTCATGCCCAGAATCATGCATTCTTCCTTTTGTGTCCTACACCACATGCTTCCATGTTTCTTCGTCGGTTAGCAAAGTAAATCACTAGGCATGCAGCAGTAGCTTGGTTTAAGACATGCCCCATCCCTGTGTTGTAGCTGCTAGCCTGCCACTACTAAAGAGTTGTTATGATTACAGCTTTTTCCTGTTGAATATGTTGATCCCTTGATCATATTCTAGGTTACCAATCTCTTTACTGAAGCATGGGGTTCCACTCAATCTCTTGCAAGCAAGTTGTATATAAAAAAAATCCATTATATTAGGTGACGTCTCCGAGTATGATCAAGAAAATGTTAGAATTCCACAGATAAAATAGTTTAAGAAAGGTGGAGAGATTCCATGGATATTCTAGCCAGTCCAGCATCTTTTATATATGCATGCAATTCAAGCAACTGTTTCTGTAAAAAAAAAAAAAGCATAGCTTTGAATCTCCTTGCCTGCAAGTTTTTACCACACAATCATCGGTTAAAAGCCAGAAGGAAATGCAAGTGGAATCGAATACATTGAAGGAAAGAGACAGATCATCCCAATTTCTTCAATGAGTACTCCACAGGTTTTAATACCACAGAATTGACATCTAATCAGGTGAAGAGTGATTTTAACAAAACAAATTTTCAATCAGGAAAGCAAATTTGCATCTATTCTATCATTTATGATTGTTCATTCAGCTGTCAGTTTCTAATTGGATACAGGTAAGTCATTTTACAGATTTTATTGTATGTCCTATATATAATTTGACCAGCTCTACGTACAATAAAGTAAAGATCAACACTTAACAAATGGATGGACAAGGAATTGAGGTGGCTCACAGTAAAATTATGGCAAAAGCACTAAAGGCGAGATGTGGCATTCAAGTTTCACGGATGAAAATGGTAGCAAAGATAATTTTGTTTTTAAGCTTTTAGTATCTCTTCAAGCCTTTAAGACTCAAGTATTACTGACTTTAATTCATTTTAAATTCTAGCTAGCATAATTAGTCCTTTTAGCTTATATATATATATATATATATATATAGTCATAATTAAAAAATAAAAAAATTATAAATATGGAAATTCAAATTATAAATTTATTAAATATTATATCTTAAAATAATTATATAAACTAATTTAATTAAATTTTAAATTTTTTTTTTAATTTTTTTTTTAGTGAACAACTCAGATAAATGGGCCAATATTTTTGTTTCTTTCCTTAGTACTGGAAACTTCATTGGCATAAGACCCGTGCATTTATTTCAGCTGTACATGATCTCTTAGGATTCAAATCCCTCGGAGGGGTACATTTAACTCGAGTACTGGTAACGCTATAAATTTGAAATAAAACCAACAACTGGGAGATTTACCAACTTGACTAACCCTAGCTAAGTGAGTAATAGGGGTTAAACTTATGTAACATGTGGAGAAGCATGAAACTAAAAATTAATTGCAATTTAGTGTTCATTTTTTGAAACCCGACTGCACTCTTCATGTCTAAAACCTGGTCCCCTCCCTACACCTGACCAGAAGATCGGACGAATGTCATATTATATAGTAAATAGGATTCTTTTGCAGAGGGACTTCAATGGCACTGACCCCTTTCAAATGGCTGGATCTAGAAATTTGATTTTGCTCTACTCAAATTCTTTTTTTTTTTTTTTTGCTGTCAGTCCATGTTCTTGGGAGTTGGGGATGTTTTGCAAGTTTTATCCTGTCCTTGTCCTTGAAATTTCTTATAATCGGCTGCCCATCCCAATGCCGACTAAAGTTTTTTTTTTAATTTTTTTTTTTTTTTTTATAAAAGAGATGTAAAGGATAGAATTAAAATTTTATCTCTGGACTCTACTAAATGTCAATTAAATTAAATTTTAAATTTAAATAAAGTTAAAACTCAACTACATACAAAAATTTCCTTTGCAGTTGAATGTAAAAATCTAGTTTTTAAGCCAACAGAAGCAAAAGCAGGTCTCAGTTTTTATGGCTCAAAAACTGTAAATACAAATGATAAATTTTCCGTACGCCCAAAACTTCATCCTTTTATGAACTTTTTCCCCATTCCAATTTTCTGTTAGTAAAGTCTACTACCCCACATGGGCTGGAGCAAGCTTGAATGGTAATGCCGGTTCCGTAAGTTCTTCAATGATGGGCCCAAGCCCAAAAACCAAAATTTGAAGTGGGGTCTATCAGTCCATGGAGAGAGTCATTTGGTTGGTGGACAGTCCTTGGATCGGCATCGGACGGGTAGCTTTCTGTATAGCCAATTCTATGTGGGGGGGACTCACCCACGCCCCACTCCCCCGAAGTTGTTTGTACGAATACTAGGGCACCTTTTCTGAGGGGTCCACTTTTTTTTTTCTTAAATCATCAATGGAAATTAAAAGCATTCATATAAACTTTTCGTCATTTTCTTTCGCATTCAATTTGTAAACAAGACAAAGAAACCAACTTGGCCAAAGTGGCGACCCACTGAATTGTCTAGCAGAAGGTTTGAGCCTATCAAAACCCCAGGTAAGAGGTGATATTGAAACAGCCCTCAGAGAAAACAGATAAAAAAAAAAAAGGGTCAGGAGTCAGTAGTATTCAGGATTCAGGCCCACCCGCCCTCTCCATCGGCTAAGAAAGTAACGTGCTTCAGGCATTGAATGTAAGGTAAAAAAAAAAAAAAGAAAACAAAATGAAAAGCCTCATTAAAGAATTATCATAGATTCTTATGGTATTTCTCCTTCAGTCAGTCTCCCTTGGAGGGTTGATTTTTAAACGCTTCTTTTCATGTACTAATATTCAATTTCTAGTTTCTTAGAATCAGTTGAATGCTCGAACATCAAGGAAAGAAACGTAGTCAATACTTACTTTTCAAGCTGCATGCAGGTTAATTTTTTCACAGGTTGCTTCAAAAACATTAAATAAATCAAACAAGTCTTGACTAAATGAATCAATGGATCATGCAAATGAGGGTGCAGTCATTTTTTTATATAAAAATCTTGATTCTTAGCATTTCTTTTTCTTCCTCTTTCTCTCTCAAATCAAGAAAATGGAAACACAGCTGAAAGTGACACTGCTTTTTATACCTTATCTGTTGTGACAGTGAAACGTTTTGGGACTGATAGGGTTTTGTATTTTTTCAAATTTAGACGATGAATTAACCGCTGGAATATCATATCAAAAACCCTTTTTTTAAATTTTAATCTTTTTGTCCAACAACATTGATTTTCACCCAAGAAATTATACATAGCTTGGATTAAAAAGGAACCGATGGTTGCAGCACAACAACTTGGTAAATCTAAATGTAGAGATGTCGATTTATATTGTTTTCTCAAAGGAAAAGCAACATATTAGGTAAAGAGTACTTGTTGCTTCGCAAATGATTTGTTTTGGATTTTAAGGAACCAACCTTTTTTCATATAGAGTTGGTTATCAGGTAACACAACAACAAAGAACCTACCAGTTTGTTTAGCTTAATAGCTATGTGAGTAAAAGCAGACAGAAAAAAGATTGGTTTGGGGCTGTTTATTAACAATGACTTGTAGCCAATTCCTGCCAGGCAATTTCCTTTTAGGTAACATTGGCTACTTTCACGTTTTATACTCTTTTTCTTTTCTTTGTCTTTGGCATTTCTTCAGTCAATAGACCAAAACAAGGAATCATCGTGCAATGACAATATTGTCTAACACAATTTGCAATTTGGAAATGCAATACTCTTCTTTTTTTTTTTTTTTTCCTGAAAGTTAAAGAAAATATATATTAATAGAGAAAATAGGCTAAAGCCATGCTGCAAGGTCTGAGCTTCTGTATAAACCAAGTTTTGCAATTTGGAATACAGTACTCTTCTATAATTCAATTACATGCTGAGACACAAACATATACATTTTGCGCACATTTGGTAATAGTTTGGCTAGGGACTAATGCAATACTCTTCTATAATTCAATTATATGCTGAGACACAAACATATACATTTTGCACACATTTGGTACTAGTTTGGCTAGGGACTAGGGGCTAATTAAATCAAACAAAGATTATTTTGGGGCAGTTGCACCTTTTTATGAAAGCAAATCAAAAGATAATCTTTCTCGTCAGCAAATTCATAGCCGAATGCTAAGGAGGAATATTAAACTTTTAATTTCGGTGATCAAATTTATATCCACGAAATTGCAAGTATTCAAAAAAAAAAAAAATCTACCTGGTTGTAAGAGTTTCTAATTGCCAAAGAAAGCAAAATCAGTCTTGGAACTTGTAAGCATCAATTGATGAGAAAAACATAAAGAAATTAAAGCTTGCTCAGGCTTGGGCATAGGGCATATCTTGAAGGACTTGGAGTTGGATTCTTGTATCAATAGAAAGGTAGAGGGACGAAAAGATATGTAGAGTGTTTATCTTTTTCTAAATTCTTCTTACTCATAATTCATAGAAGAGTTTTATAGCCTGGGCTAAACTTCCATTCTGTCGTCATCGAAAGCAACTCAAGTAGTGCAATATTTTGGGCTAACAATCACTCTTTAGATTTCGAAAGCAAGCTTAAGGGTGTCACATTCAGACACATACCCTTTGTCCATGAGGTTTGTTTTATGCTGGTTTCTTTTCATGGACCATGGTATGTTGTTCATAAACCTCTTTTTCTGTTATCCCCTTAATAAAATTAGTCTTTCCTTTAAAAATAAAAAGGTTTTATTTCTTATTTGCCAACTTAGCCTCCAAGAATATTTGTTTGGGGTTTTGAAAGAGAAAACATTAAAAGAAGACAAATGTGAAACAGTTGAAGTAATTGGTTTAAAGAGATCATTCCTAGGACTGGACTCTAAAGGAAATGCTTAGTAGAAAATATTCCTTTTGTTTTTCTCTATTCTAAGGTAAAATACTTTCTGCAACACGATCCTCCGTAAAAACTTATTTTCAGATAGTAAAATCCGTGCTGTCTGGCCAAAATTGATTACATGATTTTGAAAGCGAAATTTACAAGATCTGGCTAAAATATCAAATCATTAATTAGTACACACAATGTTCATACCTACCCAAGGTGACCAAAATTGACGTGCCTTAAATTCATATTCACCATCTGCAATCTACAGTGATCGTATATGACTCTTATTTCAATCATAGATTGGTTGCCATCACTTTTCAGTAATATGTAATCTGAAAAGTTCTACTTGATGTATGTACGTATATTAATAATAGACTATAGTCATAACTATATATAGCCAATCACTATTTGCTAGAGAATTGTCATCATATTAGAAATAACAAAAATAGAAGAACATATATGATAATCTATCATCCTCCATTACCTAAAAAAAGAGCAATTCTAAGCATATCTCTCTCTTTCTATCCCTCAAAAACATGAATATTTCATGTTATTCTAGAAAATATAAAGGTTCAAAAACCTTAAGTACATATAGAAGTAAAGCAATCTACTATACAATTATAACAAGGCCAAATACAGCTAGCTAACTTAGTGCTACGTTTATCGTTATGATTTTTTTTTTGTTTCTTAATAGAATTGAGAATGGGATTGTTGTGCTCTATTTTAAGAGATTACTATGGAAATATATATCGAATTAATAGCCCCCAAAGTCTCTAACTGTGAAAGAAGAACTCTTCTCGGGCATGTTTCCAGCATGGCGTAACCCTAGAGTGAGTGAAACATCACCAGCCGTGGTCCCGAACCTAATGAGAGTAGAACCAATGTCAGTATTACCAGGAGTGGTCTCGTAATCCGCCGCAACAATGCTGCCACGATGACACGAGTCATCGACACCAGCTATCCTGTGGTGGATATCCGAGTGACCATTGGTGGTGGTGAAAGGCTGGGAAATGGGTGG